TTTATTGGATAACTACTCCACACAATATATACATTTCAAGACTAATGCACTTGAGACTTCAGAATTCTTTTCTATTTTGCCAATTTAACTCACCAATTTATTATTATCATTATTTCAATATCTTCAAAGTCTTACTCTAGTTTCAAATAAAGAGAAATGCACCAATCAAATTGTTTTTAACATCATTTTCTATAGCCCCTTTATAAGCTGCAGAGAGAGACTCCACAGCTGACTACTGCCTTGAACCAGCTCCTGATCATCAGGGTTTTCTTTCTCCATATTTTCAAATTTTCAGCTTGATTTAAATATTGGCCAAATCATGTGGAATTACAGCAACACATAAGATAAATTTGAAAAAAAAATTTAATAAATAAATAAAACTGTGATAAAAATTGTGATTATAACAAATTTGATGAAGGTGACATAATACTGTTAAGCCAGTGGGAAAAACTGGCATAATTGTTGGAACCTTGACAAAGATAAACACAGACTTTAAATACCTTCAAGCAAGCCAGCTTGATGAGAAAATACTGCAGATGGTTTTCATATCTGGTCAGGACGCTAGTGTTAGACCTAGAACCTACAGAGCAGATGCTCTTCACATATCCCAGAGTGTCCTTATTGCACAGTATGGAGTCAAACAGCTGAAATGGGAAATATCAAAGGTCTAGCTGACTTTTTTAAGTTAAAATTAAAATTTAAAGTTAAAACATTAAAATGTTTGATATGGCAAAACAAAATAATGGGTATAGTGTGAAATAATAATTTTACATATATATATATAACATGATAATTGAAACTGACAAAAAAAACTTTCATCTACACGTGTAGAAGCAGTAACATGATAAACTGCTGTCTAATATCATATCACATTTGTTGAAATGAATGTGCTTAAGCAAATGTTGATGCAAACGCTCCCATATTTTGGAGAATACTGATTTTTTTATAATTTAAAAAGAGTTGTAACAGTACCTGTGAATTGAAACCTTTGTGAATCTTCCCCATGGACAATAAAAGTCTGGCCATAGCAGTCAGGAAACTGTATGGTGAATTATGGAGAAGAACAGGTGGCACTTGTCCTGATCTCAAAGTACACAGCAGGGAAGGCAAGTTTGATGGGGACTCCTTGGAATATGACTGGTCAACCCCTAACACAACAGAGTGCTTGCTGTAAGGGAGACAAGACTTTAAAAATTACACGCACACGCGCACACACACACACGCTCATGCATGGGTGTGAGCACACAAACACATATTCTGTAAGTATTCCCCTTGAAACATCTACTTCAGTCAACTATTCAAATATTATTTCAATCAACCACTATAATTTACCTTAATCTAGACAGTGCCATTTTGAAGGAATAAGATGCTAGGCAAGGTGTCAGCAGTGTGGACACTATGGCTTCAACATGTGGTAATGTCACCACTGGATCATACATGGGCTGAAATAATAGAAATATTGTTAGATGAGCAATTAAAATATACAATCTAAAAACTACAGCAAATAATGTCTTTGCGCCTATCACTAAATAATTTAACAATAACCAAATAAATATAATAAAAATCAGAAATTCATAAAATATTCAATTTGATATTTCAAATATTACAGCACAAGAACAAAGCCAGATGTCTCATGTTTTTCATTAATTTAAGTACAAACTGGTTCTGCTGGCATATTACAAAAAAATAAAAAATAAATAAGAGTACCATACTTCACCTGAGTTTTTCACCTGCTGTGCTTACCTGTGTTGGCAGGTGTAGGTAAAAGGTGGCAGTGAAGTTTAAGGCACAGGTAAGCATTGACACATCTAGTTCCTACAGGTGAGAAACAGACACTGTTTTTTCCAACTGATTTCAAATGATTCATCCAATTATTATTATTATTTAAAACAATAACTGTCCAATTTTTTACATTTTTCAGTAAAAAGAAAACAAATCACTATTGCTCTAACAATTTACAATGAAAATATATTCTCTCTCTCTCTCTCTCTCACACACACACACACACACACACACACACACACACACACACACACACACACACACACACACACACACACACACACACACACACACACACACACACCTGTGTAATAAAGTCCTCTTCAAACTGCTCCAAATATTTGGTCAGCAGCAGTTCTACAGGTTGTATCAGTCCAGCTACAGTACTCCAGTCCACAGCAGGAAGGACCACCTCACACTCTCCGTCTCCTGCCTCTCTGGGGACACACATATAATATACTGGTTGTAATATGTACAAAGGAAAGTCATACAGCAATCTGGGACAATAGCCCAGCACACCTTGAAAACAATACATGATGTAATAAAAGGGAAATTTGAAACATGAATCCTATTAAGTAAAAATCCTTTCTATGATAATTATCTTTCATGTTCTTCCCAATTTTTTTCTTCAGCTTTGCGAAATAAGTAATTAGTCTTGTGAAATCAACTTACAAGAATCAATTTTCCACTTACTTTGTGAAATAAACCTTCACATAAAATTAAAGACTGTGCATATAAGTTGTAACTTTATATTTACTATAGAATTATACATATCAATACATTATTACACCTGTTCCCGTACCTGCTGGTTTTCCTAGACACCAGATAAGAGTGGCTGGCGGCCACATGTACTACAGTCTCCAGTAGTGCCATCAGCTCCAGACAGTCAGCACTGGGTTTCACTGACTGCAGGGAAACTGTGGACAAATGCTGTAGTTTTCCTATTAATACTGGATACAAGTCTCTGAAGGCATTCAATGGTAAGGCAATGATAATATAATATATTTGTTTGGTTTGTTAGAATTATGTAAATTCAATTTCTTTTCCACCTCCATATTAAGTAAATATGGTAATTCTATTCTCTGTAGTGAAAGCACCACAAATGCTATACAGAAACATAATTTTGTGATTATAAAATTATGTATATGAAAGTTTGATTATTTTTGCCCATTGAAAAGATTGAGAAAATACCGTACATCATGTGAATACCATGGATAGAAAAACATTGTAACATGTCCAATACATGACAAATATTCTCACCTCACACTGTCCGTGGTAAGACCATAAGAAAGTAACACTCTCCATGTTCTAAAACTTTCAGCAACAAGTGCCTCGTCCTCACCAGCAGGGAGCTGCAACTCACTATAGACAAGACAATGAAATAGCATTAGAAGTTATAGATATTAGAAGAAATAATACCACTTTGTCTACAATGAAGTTTAAAAATAGATCATTTCAAGCAACTAATTTAAATACCAATTTTCAAAATATTCAAATGTGCATTGGCTTAATAAACTATAAATTTAATTAATATAATAATCATTTCATGTAAAAACAGCACAAGCTCTAACAGTAAACTCATAAAGTATGTGCATTCTTCAAAACCACAACAATTCAATATCTAGAAGTAAAGGTGGTAGAAGTAAAGGGACCTTCAGACATGAATACAACACAGTTAATAATCATCAAGTCTTGCAAGAGTGAAGAGTCCATGCAATTCCACTGGTACATTGTTTGATACACAAACACCCAGTACTCACCTCAACTGTACAGCTATATATCTTGTCACATTGTTGATTATTTTGTATTTGGATACCTGTAAAAGATTACTACAAAACCTGGGCAATGGTAAATTAGAGGCACATTTAAAGGATTTGTTTTCAGTATAAGTATCCATGATCACACACTCAATGAAACATTACGATGGGAAACTTAAAGAACAACAGCAAAATGATTTTATCTTAAAGCTCTGATCTGAAGATTTCGCCTCATATTTCATGAAAACCACTGCCACTACGTACCAAAATGGCTGCCATGTTCTTTCCAGCAGAACATAACATCCTGATCAGCTTCATGGCTTTGGCCACAGGACAGCCATAGACTGAGCTCACTGGACCTTGGTCAGCTGAAAATATACCAGAAGTTGGACATGTGAAATATTAAGGCATGATACACTACTGTATTGCAAACAAGAGGATCCACAAAGGTCTCCATTAAAGATTAACTGACAGGCATACCACAGAGCAAATCAATGCAAACCCAATGAACTGCGAGAACTGATTTTATCAGTGTAGATGTAAACATTGATGCTGAACCTACAATGTACTAACACTGACAATACTTTAAAATGATTCAAATTGCATAATCAAAGCTTTAAAAGTTTATATTACAGTTGCTAATTCAAACAAAGCCCACAGTTTCCAGTATTCTCAGAAAGCTCCCTCTTCAAAGAAAAAAAAATTACAAAACCCGTTCTAATTTTTACAGAAAATATTTTAAACCAACTCACGGACAGGTTTCCACTGGAGAGGTAAAAACTCCCTGCAGATAGTGTCAATCAGGCGAGGACACTGCAAGGTGTCCTGGGCAGACTGCAGGGAGTGGGAGGCTATTCTACACAGGACGTCCAGGATGTTCACCACCACAGACGACGTGGGTTTTAATACCTCCAGGACGTACCGCAGCCGAGGAAGGAGATCCATTCTCAGCAAACCCTTGGGAAGAAAAATTTAAAGTCTAAAATGTAAAGTGTGTACTGGTATGACAAGCTGCATTCAGACAGGAGTTGTTTAGACCTTGTTTAGGTCCAACTTGTATCATCAAACAAATATATTACATGTGTTTGGTCTACTGTGTTCACACACAATAAGAAACTATGTACACTGTATTTTGCTTGTAAAATCAGAAAAAACTTTTCACTTTTATACAACATATATCAAATCTATTTCAACAGTTATAACTTTAATTTTGTTTAACAAAATAATTGTGTATAATCATCAAAAATACCTGAATAACATCTTGCTTGACGATGTCTGCGTCTGTCTGTTGTGTTTTATCCCCTTCATCTTCTGAGTCTTTGTGATCTAGTGGTGAGGCAAGATTGAGTATCTCCAGACCTCTGTACCAGCAGGAGACTGTGTCCAGGGCAGCCTGCGATTAAAAAAACAGATGTCATAATTTTTTTTATTAAAGATTATAAAATTGTATTTGAATTCTTCATTTTATTGGTACTGAAAATGTCAGTCAAAGAAGTATACCTCTTACTCTTTAATTACCTTTAAAGACAAACTGATATTTTCAAGGAAAGAAATGTAAAACAATTTTACTGATGTCATTATCATTTAAATAATTTTTCATTGGTTTTTCTCTTTCTATCATCTGCAGCATGTACATCAATAGATCCAAAAATAAAATATTTATATAATACAATGATATGACTAGTCAATTGGAGGCTTTGTGTGTAACTGTAAGTGTGTGTGCGCGTATTAGTGCACACACATACCTCATCATCTGTATTGACCAGCAGAGCGGCCAGAGCTTGGACGGATGCGGCCACTGTGGTCTCTACGCTATCGTCCAGAGCCCAGCGTACTAGGAACACCAGCCCTGCCTCTAACACAGCTGGTAATATCGGCCTCTGTAAGGTTTCTGCAAACACAGCCTGCTTGGCCTAAAGGTGGAATAGAAAAATTTCTATTATTCATTTTTTTTTTCTATGAAAATTTTAATGGAATATATTATATGTAATTTAAAAATTCCATAACTGTGGTATTAAAAATCAATTTATCATTACTGAAATGCAAACAAAACAATTTATGTGTTAAATATACTAAACAAAACTAAAAATTTCATCCTCTTCATGTCAATAAATTTCATATGTTTAAAAATCTGAAGTAAATACTTACATTTTGAATTATTTTGGACAGTGTTTGTAAAGCCATAACTCTCTGCTGAATGTTGGCACTTCTTGCCAGAGTAAAAAGTTCTTCTAGGGTGTAACCAGGCCTCTAAATTACACAAAAATAAAAAATAGGTACAGACAACAGAAGAAATAATATTTTTTATCAAATTAAACTGAAATTCTATCAGCTGTGTATATTCAAATTTTGGAAAGTTTCATCAATTATTCTATCAAAACTGTCCTGAACATTCCCTAATGTGGAAACAAGGCAATTTCTTTAAACCAACAATCCACTTCTTTTTCAACCACAAACAATATTCATATAAAGTTTTAGTGCTTACAACTATACAAGTAGAACACAGTCCAGAATGCACTAAGGAGGATAGGGCACAGTGAGAAGGAAAGAGACCCGGAGGTCTTGTAGTACCCTCAGGACTGTGCTCTGTATGTCTGATAATACAGGTCTACCTGTGGATCTTCCCCATGGTGATGGAGTCCTATATGGGTGGGGACTTCCTCCTCACTGGAGATCAGCAACCCTTGGAAGTCAAACCTGGCCGTCTGGCCTGTCTGAAAACATGAATAATATTTATCATTTTGTGAGAAATATTTTAGTAGTTTCAAAAATTGAAAAAATAAAAATAAATAAAGTACTTCCAAATTCCTTTTTACAAGTTGCCATCTCTAACATTTTAGACCCAATTTTTTAGGGGAATTAATATAACTCTGAATATATTTTCTATGTAAAATACAATGCCACCTAACATTACAAATTTTTGTTAAAATCACAAATATCTTAGAAAGAAAATAATAATAACAATTGTTTATACTTTAATATCATCTAGCTTTGCTGGGGGGAGATCTTTCATCCAAGCTAATTTCTCAGGCTCTACTTTGTCCATGTGCAGCCATGTCTTCTCTGGCTTGATGTTCAGTTCACAGTCTGTACAGTCAAATATGCATTCATGTAGTGAAAGTAAGCACATCACCATCTTTTGGGGCAAAACGTCCAAAACTTTGGGCATAAGTAGTTGAAACAGTAAACTTAACAATCCTGTACAAATCTGAAAATTTGTTCACCCTCAAAACATCACTCTTAATTCATAAAATAAATACTTACAGGCGTAAAGAAGCTCCAATGGGATTATAATTACTCAAACTGATAAAAACAATTAAATTTAGAACTTACAGGAAATTACACATTCAACCTCACATTTGGGATGTTTCAAATATACAATTATTTTCTATACCTGGGTTTTCCTGCAATCTGTTTTTCTTTTCTACAATTTGCTCAGTGGACTCCACCTGGAACTGTACTTTCTTCTTACTGGGTGTTTCTGCGTGCCTTCCCTTGGTTAATAACTCAATAAGTTTGGGATCTGAAACGTTGACATGTACCTTTTGACACAATTTTATATTAAAAATTTGGTTCACGCACCTCATGCAGAAGTCAATGTCTATCAGATTAGATGACAAGGAGGACAAAAAAATATATTATGCTACATGATTAAGAAATCAATTCACATAAATCAAATATAATGTATTTAAATATAAAATAAAAATAAATTATCTAAGATTTTTTTTACCGAGCATGCCCTTCAGTTTAGCTTGTTCAGCAAGTATTTCCTGCTCTGTCATAGAAGCCATTGTAGCTAGATTCTCTTCATGGATTTTCTTCCTTTCTTCACTTGTTATTCCTCTGCACTCTAATTCAAATGAAATATGACTGCTTTAATAAGTACTTCGTAATAAAAAATATCAATGAAATATCTGCCAAGACCAGAATTATCACTTGAAAAAAATGTAATCATGTCCTGAATCTTAGGCAAATGTGCAACAATATAGAGCATGAAGGAATATTGTACTCTAATTATTGCAGTAACAATAATTGTATAGTTAGGGTAGACAATGAAAAAAGACAAACTCATACTCAAATGTATACTCCATCCATCATCCATCACACACACCTGACTCAATTATTTCTGATATACAGGACACGTCCTCCGCCTCCTCTGTCTGTTCAAGCACTGGATCTCCTCCCTGCTGAGACAACTGCTGGGCAAAAATACTCCGCTTCTTTACTGAACCTGAGGAGGACTGGAAAAGGAAAATATTCTAAGAGACCGATCTAACTCCGAGAGGATTCTCGCTAAATTGCAAATCAATGTAAGTGGCTTAGATAGATACAGAGTTATGTTACAGATATTTACCTTAGACTTTGGGTCCCACTGTAATACCTTAGGGAAAGCATCAGACACCTGTCTGGGGAAATACACTGGTACATGGTGAACATCCCTCTCCTTGGAATATAAAATATAACTATGTCTAATGGCAAGCACCAATTTAGCAAAGAAATGCTATAATATGCTACCTTCACTGATTTCAGGAATAATTGTCATAATTTCTATGCACAGAAGAGGAGACAGTTTTTTAAATGTTAATACAGGCCCCAAGTATTAATCTTCCAATTTTGTACTGTTAAGTGACTGGTCTATTATACAATATGCATTTTTGAGAAAAAGGATAGATATTTTACACCCACCTTAATCTCTGACAATACTTTTGTGATATGTCTGTCATGTTCTACAAAGAAAAAAATTTAAATACAATGAACATCTAGAAAAACATGAAATTTCGGATGGTACCTGAGAGGCAAAAAACTGAGATATTTGCAATTTTTTTAAAATAAAATAACAATTAACTAGCAAATAAAGTAGCATAATAAAAATAAAATACATATAATTGGAAAAACAAGTCCAGAAATTGGAGAAAGAATCTAGACTGCTTTAATGTTGACTTATCTTTAACGAAAATTCAATGACCATCATTTTGCTGCTAATTTCAATGACAGTTATGTTAACAGAATTACTTTCTAAACTCTCTTCTGGGTCTTCCATACATTCTGTAGAACTTTTTCCTGTGTCCTTTTTCTGCTGGAATTTTGATCTCTTGGGTGTCTGTGGCATATCTGTCGGGGCTGTGGGAAGGGTAGACGGTAAGCCTAAAACAAAAAAATATTTCAAAAGATTCTGCTATTAACTTTGCATTGTTACCAAAGCTCAAATTAAGTGGAATTTTAATCAAAAAGTACACACTGAATAAAACTGGTGATTAGAGCTGTAGACAAACTACTCAAATGTTTAAATAACTACTCATGACACAGTGGATGCTGATCTGTACGTGAAATTGAGTGAACAAATTTATGACTCTGCAAAATGGATATACATATACTATCATATAACATCTCACTGCAGTGGGATTATGTATTTGTACATAAGGAGAATGGAAAGAAACTGAATAAATTACATGGTTTAAATTACTGATTTAAAATATTTTGTGAAACAATCCCCAAAATCCTGAGATATCAAAATATGCACAGGCTCAGCAATCCATGACAGAATATTACCTTGTAACTTAACAACATCCCTCTCTGCTGGGGTTGTCTTAATGGCTGCAGTCTCGTTTCCATTGCTAGCTTCATCGTCTCTTTTATCTGGTTTGGAACTTGTCACAACAGTGGCAGAGGACGAGGATTTACTGGAGAGAAACGTTCTCTGAAACTCCAACAGGTCATCCTCATCATCGCCAGGTTTGGGCCGAGAGACGTAATGGGCCCTGTCCATGTCTCAGCCAATCCCACGGATTATCTAAAAAAAAAATAAAAAGATCCACCATGAGTTTCAGTGAACTGGAGTGAGCCTGCACTACACACATGTATGAAGAGTATCTACTTTGGTTCAAAACATTTTCCTTTCTCCCCTCCCTATACACTTATTAATATGATAGATGTGTGTAGAGGAAAGTGTCAACTCCAGTTCTCTGAAACTCTTGTGAGATAAAGATAAGACAAAATATTTATATAGTTCATGTGGATCTATAATATGTGAAGAATGGTATGCCAGAATTTTTGACCTAAAAATGAGTTCCAAAAAGCAAATGAATAAAAGTTTTTACTTTTCTGGAACTTCCAAAATAGAAAACAATGTCAAGAACAGAAAAAGAAATATGAATAGAAAAGTGTTTGGGAGTGGGTTTCCACAAGGTTAATCAAATACCCAGGACTGCTGAATACAGACCCAGGGGATGGGGTGTTCTTTCTGTAAATAGTTCCCTGGCTGGTGAGACTGTGGTGATCACTAGGTGCTAATCTTACAGGTAAATAATAATAATAATAATAATAATAATAATAATAATAATAATAATATTTTTTCTAAATAAATAAATATCTGTGTCATTAATATAATGCAGAGCTGAGAGCCTTGGGGGACACTTTTCATCTCAGGCTCATAGATGTGTTATATGGAGGCTACTACAGTGCAGTAAAGGATTGAAGCTGATTGTTGCGCTGGTCCTCTAGATCAGATTATGCACAAGACGGGAGCATCACTACAGCCTCGTCAAGAAACTATTCAACACTGCTTACTGCGTTGTGGTCAATGAAATGTCATAGACCAGCTTCCCAAACCTTCTCAAATTGCAAATGGACCAGATATTAGTTTATAATTTTAAGTTACTTTTAAATACCTGTATGATTTTATTTATGATAAATTGTAAAACTTCAACCTTTGGTAAATACTCATTATCATCAAAAATTATTGGCCGGTCCCATTTCTAATTTTCAATAGGCTGGTCCTATAATTTCATAAATTCAATTTCATTTTCCCCCTTTTATTCAAAGCTGGGCTGGTACCCAATCTTATTTAAAGAAAATGGTGGGGGGGGGGGGTATGTTGTGCTTGTGGATTGTGCTGTGGATGTATTGCCACCTAGAAGAAAGTAAAAGAAGAGCGGAAAATTTAAGAACAGTTTTACTGCGATCCACTCCACTGAGAGTCTGCCATAGAGGCAACATCTCCTGTGCAGCTATTCTTCAATCAGCCAACATTCCTACACTCATCCTACTGGATAAAACCAATTGGTGGATATAGTAGAGACAGGCTAGGAGCTATTTGAAGATCTCATAGGAGTCCTAAAGGTGGAGAATTAATGGTAAGTTGTTCATGCCCCTGATCTGGGTGTGGCAGCCACCTTTGTGCATCACTGCTAGTTAGTCTGTAGTTGTCACAAGAATAAGTGAGTTTAGCCACTCGGGTTCACTTTATTTGGCAAATAAATTATTATTATTTGGAGCAGCTCGTCTCTTACTGACAAAGCCTGTGCATGGTGTGTGCCATTGATTGATTAAGTCATTACTTCATGACCGTATCATAATCAGATGGAGCCTCTGTCAACTTAGGCACCAATAACAATGTACACACAAGACTTGAGACTGGCAGACCATATGTAGTGAGCAGCCATTGTGCTGCACATTGTATGAAGGTGGGTGCACTGCAAGCAATTAAGAACAACCCCATGCTTCTAACTCTAGAGGAGAGTTTTATGCTGTTGCACAAGCATTACCACTACAGTCCTAGAAGACTGAGGGAGTTGGGACAAATCAATGACATGACTGAGGAGTGTATTATAAAAGGTTTCATTACAAAATGCATGAGCTTCATGAAAAATGCCAACGACAGCGCCGAGGAGGACTACTTAAGGATGGATGAACTCTGTACCAGTCCCCTTCCAACAGCTAGTGCTAACCCAGACATCTTGGAACAAGTCTGGGTCCTGCTTCTAACCATGAAAACCAAAAAAAAAAAAAAAAAAAAAGGAAATTAGTCACCTCAACCAAAGTGAAACGCCACTCATCAACCATTCTAAAATGCCTACAGAAGTAAACCTGTAGCCCAAGTGAAAAACAAGACCTTTTCAGGGCTACACACATGTTCAGGAAAAATGATATCGTACGTTTCAAATCAATAAAGCAACAAATAAAGAACACCTTCTTGTCACATCCCTAGGGCAAGATACCCTTCTCCAATTATGAACCTGAGAAATAAATTGATACTGCTATCTACCAAAATCATTCCAACACCCAAGGGCGAAATGCCCAAAAAGGGAAAAAGTAAGTTCAAAAACAAACAGAAGACTAGTAAACTCTTCGTTTGGTACCTTACAGGACTCACCTGGGTGATCACAGTCCAACAAATGTCCAACATCCAGATTTTGACCTCTCCAGGTCAAATGGTAACTTTCTCCTTCTACGCAATTCTATGGCACAGCCAGTGATGACTGAAAGAGATGACATTCTTAGTTTCAGTGAGTTGATAAGAATTTAATTTGATGCCGAGACAGGGAAACATGTTCAAGCATATGGAAAAGATCAAAGCAGAAGTAGATGTCACATATCCAGAAAGTACACCTTGATGAGTTGTTCATACAAATTATCATTGGTCAGGTATCAAGCACAAAAGACCCAGGGGTGGTGGATCAACCACTGTTCATGTGTGCAGCACACACAGGCAGAGCAATAATCACCCATGATGATCACAAACCAATATCTGTAATAGCAGCCTTCAGATGCCATTACTGAGAGATAGAGTAGGTATATCACAATCCGCTAGGGGCGCTACAGTAGTAACTATCCAGGGGTAGTGAAGTGTAAAACTGATATTNTCACCTGTCTGGGGAAATATTGGGCCTGCTGACAGCTCACCTATGGCACCCCTTTTTTAAATCTCTCTTTTAGCGCCGTGTATATAAACAAATACAAGCCATTTACTAGATAAGCTGTAAATCAAAGAGTAAATTCCGGTCACGTGATTTTCTGTGTTGCAGTCTTAGAGAACTTTGATTTGAGGACGTTTTTAAGTTTTGCCTCGACAAAATGTTAAAAATTTCAGATAAGTACTGCATGGGAGTTTTTGTAATTTATGCCGTGTAAAGTTCATGAAATTTGCAATAATATGCTGCAAAATCATGAAAATTGAACCATGCGAAGTATAGTTTATTTTATGCACAATATTTATAGTACATGATATGCATGGAAGCCATCCCAGCCATGAGCTTGTGCGGTCGCCAATTTGGGTTTGTTTCCGGGTCATTAGTTTAACATACAGCCCTAATTGGTCACAAGCAATTTGAGCTGCAGCTACAGCTGAGTGATCACCGCTGGTCAGTAGTTACAGGTTCTTAGCTGAAGAGTGTGGACACTTTTGGTGAATTTTTGCAGTTAAAAAACTTCAATATCTTTGTTGCTTGTAGGAATATTTTAAAAATTCCAAAAGAATTCATCTGTTTTTTGTATTACCTTTCAGAAGATATAAGTATAATAATTTTCTGATCAGTTTGAAAAATTTCTGATATACCTAGATAGAGAAAGAAGATAGAGAAAGAGGTAGAAATCTGAGAATTCTAGTGGTCATCAATAGATAGGGATTTCGGGTACTGTGTCTGCTAAGGTAAGCAGTAAAGCAATAGAAAGATCCTAAGCTTGAGTTGAGTAGTGTATGGGCTTTCTATACATATAAACCTTTGACGTTATAGTGTTTGTTGTCAGTGCCAAGAGGATAATGTAATTCCTGTGAACACAAGGAGACTGTGCAGGGGCAGTCATATAAGTAAGAACACCAAACCATGTGACTACCTAGATCCCTAAAGGTCTGCATTGCTAACACGTACAGACTAAGCTGCTCTGCAAGATAACACTGATGCCACAATCCGGTATCTAGGGTAAAAAACTGCTGAAGCAAAGTTTCAACCTTACCCCCGGTCTACAAGACTGTTATTTGTCACTTCCTCCGTGCTGTGCCTAACTTACCCCTACACCGTCCTACTATTTAGAAGAATCAAACATATTTATCAGAATCAACTGGAATCAAGCAGAATCAATAATAAGGGCTCCACATGGGAGTGAAAAAAAAAAAAAAAAAAAAAAAAAAAAAACAAGGCCATACATCACGTCTATTCTTGTCTTTCCTATTTAGGCCAACATCAGGCGTAGCATGTGGAGCATTTTCTAGATTTTAGACAACCATACCAGTATTGGTCCTCTTAGACGTATATGGAGAGATACAGATACAGAACCACTTTACTTGGTGATACATCTTGTATGACCCTACCACTACGTACGGCCCACTACGTACACGTGGGTTAAATTACAGAAAAACAATGCCCATACACAAGTATACATGCCTCAAACAAAATACATGTCCAAGCGTCACGAGACCCCAGAAAAAGAAGAATTGAAAACTCTCTTAAAGATACTTTGCGACTTGGCTTTTCATTTCATCTGCCTGCTTGCATTGCCCGCTCTCACATGGGGAGCACCATATTTTAAATACCCGGATGAAGAGTCTTTGTAAAAATTGAGATTTTGGTGAATTGTTTAAATAAAGTAATTATGTGTTAGGAACTGAGTTATGGAGTTTGCTATAAGGCTAAAATATAATTTTTGTAAACAATATATTTTACTTATGCCTTTTTTTGATTTTATCAATTTTTTTTTCAAACCGCCATAATGGAATTCTTGTTTTCTACAAACCCAGTCATTGTGGCTTGGCAACAGAACAACACTGGTTAATTCCAATTAGTACTGCGAGCACAGATTTTTCATAGCAAAAGGGGTAGGTAATGTTGTGAACTGCACCACTTTCAAAACTTTGCACGGTAGTTTTCTTTTCTACACAATTATTGAGCTGTCTGAATGTCTGGTGTTTCAGAATGTTTGATTTATATGTGATGTCCGCAGCACAAGCTACGGTAGATGAACTAATTAATTGAACCAATAATTGCCAAAAGCCATTGCGAATCTGTGCAATACCCCTTGTCCTGTCATTCATCAATTGACAGATTAAATGTGAAAATTAATCAGATCTTAAAATATTGACTATGGCACTGTGAAAAAAGCCTGGTCTATTTACAGATATTTTCCAAGCTCGGTGGCATATATTTTAATTAAAATTGCAAGTACATGTACGTTTTATGTGTATTGGGTAAATTACCTTAAATATAGCATGGTGCAAAATAGATTTAGGATTTATTATGATTTCTTCATCATTTCAAGCTGACGAACGAAAATATAAATAATGAATATTTGAAGAATGGTTTAGAATTATTATGTACTAGTACTAGTATGTATTATTTATATTATATATATAATAGTATGTATTAGTACTAGTGTATTAGTATAACACCATTAAATGTCATATAAGTTTCATATTCCATGCCTCATTAATTTGTATAGAAATTATGTGTACAGATAGCTAGTTGGGCTAGATGGAAAGTGGTATATAACAGCTTCAAAATGATATATTACTGGATACTGTATGATATAAAATTCTAAATAAAATTGAATGACCTGTTGGCTTACCTCTAGCAATGTTCCTGTGGATGCACAGTATGTGTCAGTTTATATTTCTTATCCCCCACTGCATCCACATGATTTAAAGAACAACATTTTCCAAATCATCAACAATAGATATTGTATATCCCCAATTTTATAACCTTTACATCTTAGGAAAATCTCATTCTCATGTTTTGTTTTGTGATTTATTTTTAGGTTTGTAAAAGTCAAAATGGACCCCCCACTGACAGAGAATAAAGAAAATGTAGAGAATGGAGGAGGTGAGGACAAGAAAAGCGAAAAAGACGCAAAAAGTCCAGCAGGTTCAAGAGCTGGCTCCGCCAAATCTCAGAGAAGCCAGAAAAGCAATGGCAGTCAGAAAGGAAGGATACCATCTCCCATCAGGTCAGCTAAAGATAACCCTGCAGCTGACATGAGGAACATGAGAAGGATCATCGCTGAAGATCCTGAATGGTCCTTGGCTACTGTCCCAATGTTGTGGGAGCTATGTATCAAACATATAGTGGGAAACTTTGAATGTAAGTAGTGTAGATGTGTTGAATTTCATCTCATTTTCTTCCTCAGGTTGTAAAAGAATATAAAGTGCCTCTGATATCGATGCAAGAGATATAGGCTCACTGACTTAGAATTGTTCTATTTTATTAGACATTAGCCTTCCCCAGTAAGTGCAACTCTGTAAAGATTTTAGGTTTAACTATATAAAACTTATGATATGGGTAGCGTTTACAACCACAATAATAAATTCCCAGGAAATTCCCCTAGAATATGTTCAACTCAGTATCTTACAATTTACAATTTCAGTTTGCTCACCAACACAATCATGGCTGATTAAGATATCACCTAAAGCACTCAGAATGTGTTTTTAACTGTTCACTTTATTTTATGTAGTATTCAGATAGTTTCTTTTCAATTTTTCTGATATATTTTTTAAAATTATATGTATATTCCAGATAACTCCAAAATCCTTGACAAGCTACTGCCAAAGCATAAAACAAAAGTGCTTGAGAAAATTTCAACAGACTTGCCCTTGAAAGTCACATCAAATCTGGTGGAGGATGAAGGTTACTGGAAACGCTGCTGCAAGGCTAGATGGGCTATCTGCGATGTATCTGCCTATGGGAACAACTGGAAAAGAATGTACTTTGAGCGTAACTTGCAGGATATCATCGAACACTTTGTTCCAGAAAACACAGACCCAGAAGAGTTGGACAGCACTCTTCCGCTTTCTGCAAATTTTGTGAAAAAGTTAGACATTCGTCAACTGCTACCTCCTGTAAAAGAGGCGCCGAAAGGGTTTGACGATGATGTCTCTGATGCTGGGAGTGAGGCTGGGGATGGCCCTGAGACAGACCATTTTGATTTTGGACCAGTCCTCCAGAAACTGCCCTTGCTGGAAGAGTTTAGGGTAACATATGGAGTCCGAGACTGTGGCATGAACTTTGACTGGAATTTATTTCAGTTCACAGCAAGGGATTGCCTGCTGTTATCAAAGTGCATCGCTGCTTGCAAGACCCTCAAGGTATTATGTCTACACAGGAGTAAGGTTGATGATGACCGTGTCCGTGTGTTGATCAGTCACATTCTTGACCATCCGTCTTTAGAGGAACTGGACTTGTCACATAATATCATTGGGGATAGAGGGGCTCGTGCTGTGGGCAAGTTTATCAACAACCACAGCCAGTTAAAGATTCTGAACTTGTGTGATAATCAGATAAGAGCTGCTGGCGCTCAGGCCATTGCTCATGCCTTGACCAAGAATACCACACTTCACAGTCTGAACTTGCGTCTGAACCGCCTTGGGGATGAAGGAGGACAGGCTGTGTGTAGGTCCTTGATGAAGAATTCCACGCTGAAGGAAATCAACCTGAGTACTAATGATATGACAGAGCCTACAGCGGCTGTGCTGGCACAGGTCGTCATCCAGAACACAACCATCAAGTCCCTGGATCTCTCCTGCAATAAACTGGGGGCTGTAAGTAGGGTTTGCACATTGAGATATTGGAGGCAAAGTTGTTATTAATATTTATTTATTATCATTGATATTATTATTTTTTTTTAGTCAAGGAGGCATGAACAAATGTTGTTGTAATTTTGAAATGTGCTTGGAGCTTGTGGACATATCATTTTAAAATTATTTTTCTAATTTTTTGTTTCATTTTCTTTCTTATCCCAGCACCCTTTTCTTTCTGCTATGTACATAACTACAAATAGTCTTGCATATATACACAAGGAAACATATTAAAGCCATCAATTTATCATAGCAAAAGCAAGTTAAAAGAAAAAGAAGATTGAAATTACACTCCATGCAACACTTTGCCTCAAGCAACAGAAATCTAAATCTTTCACAGATAGGTCACACATCATTAATATAGTCCTCATCTAGCCTTTTTGAAATCATCATTTGCACAGTATATATTTGTGCACCTAAGCAGATCTATATAAGGAGAAGGGTAAAGTAATCCGCCTCCCCTCCCCCCCACCCCATTGTGAGGGTCTCTTGGGACTTGTTCCCTATGAAACTGTTGATCTTCGTAGATCGATTCAACTCCGTGGGGACTCTTGCTGAATGCAATCAAGAGATTAACGCACCTGATCCTGGTGTAGAGTAGAATACAGAAAAGTTAGTGATTATAATAGTATGTTGGAAATATGTTAATCTGATTGCATTCAGCAGGAGTCCCCTCATAGTTGGATCAATCTACATAGAACAATAGTTTCATTGGGAATGAGCCTCCACTCTGTACCCAGTAGCAACTAGTGGTGTATGTATTCATTTCCTGCCCTTCACAATTGATGTACAGCCTAATAAATATTTCCCATAAAGAACAAAAAATTAATTGTCGAAAAGATCTTCGTTTCATCAATCATTTTGATGTGACAATTTCATGTGTGAATTCTCATGTGTGAATTTTATTACTCTGCCATCAGACCAGGGGAAGTCTTTGATTTCATTGTGTTTCTGTGTGTTTTGGACAATATATTTAGCAAATTGCATCAATATTGTTTGACAGTTCAGCACTAGATTTCTAAAAAAAGTCTCTCTTGAGATGTAGCTTTTCTACAAGAGTGTTCAGTTTTGAGGTTAGTTTCCTAGCAAAATGAATTAGTATTGATTTGGTGCACCATTGGAACTTGTTGTATGATATCTGTGTATTTAAGCCTGTTTCAGTAATTCAGTACACACTTTGATCAGGCAGCTTGTCTCAAGGGTGGTGACATCTCTTCCACCACAAATTGCTAGAAAATGTGTTTGAACTGTAAATAGAGATGAGTCTCCTGGATTTATGTGGAAATTGGAATTCTTAGGTGCTGTATTTATGCCCCCCCCCCCTCTTCTGGGGGCCCCATTTAGGGGACTCTCTTATGTGAGAATTAGGCTGTCAAGTTGTCAAACTCTCAGTGTACTGGTGCAGATACATCACTAAAATATAAATTGTATAATTATAAAGACCTTAGTTACTCACTCTTCAGCAAATTTATGCAACTTTATTGAAAACATGCCTCTTTTCTTAGTTGCAGTTGTTATTTTCTACTTTGCTTCAAAATCTTGAAGTGTTCAAAATGAAACATAAGTGAGTTAATTAGCTTGCATCTGCATTTCTGTTTGAGTGAAAAGAATAAAACTCACTAGATAATATTTCAACTGTTTATTATATTCTCTATCCAGGATGGTGGCAAGCAGCTCCAGGAGGGCATGGAAGAAAACAACACCATAACCCACATGGACCTCAGGTTTACTCAGTGTGGCCAGGAATCTGAATTTATCATCAACCAAATTCTGGCCAAAAGCCAAGACAGGGAGAGAGAGTCCAAAGAAAAAAACATGAATGAAGTAAACTCCAAGAAGTAAACGCCAATCGGACTGGGAAATGAGACTATGAAAATTGAACGCTAAAGGATAAATAAATAAATGTACTTGGAGATTAAGGGATAAGTGAACATTTTAGGATGAGGGATAAATCAGACAAACCCATTTATTGATCATGGAATAAAACCAAGACCCAAGAGATGCTTCATTTGAAAACTTATATATAATAGCACAGGGTCGTAATATATCAAATATCTTATGCATATTATAAAATAAACTACTGTTTAAAAGTACTTGAGTGTCATGAAATGTTCTTTTACTATAAATATTTGAACTGTGATGTGTACATAATAAGAAACAGTTTGATCTGATTGTGATCATGAGCTTGATGAAATCATGTCATTAGTGAATATAATAAAGCATCATGAAATATTCATTCCTTTAAATTGTTGTTTGACTGACATTGGAAGCATGACATCATCGATATCTTTTTTCTTTTTCTATGCATTATCACTATTTCCAATTATTTTAATCTCCCAAGATCATTGATTCATTTGCTCACAGCTGAATTTTTGTTTATTGATCTAATCAGTTTTCACACTTTTAGCATTTTCATTTTGTTTTACTCTTCTAATCACTCCTTTGGGAGACATTTGTCATGGCCCACTCATTTTCTCAGATAATGAATTTTTGAATTGGAAATGCAACCAATAAACAAAACTAGTATGATGGAAGAAAACGGACAAAATATTTTCTGCTCATGTTCCTGGAGGGTACGTTGCTAATCATGGTCCATTAAAGATGTATATCTTTTACTGCTGTTCAGTGAGGGAACAAAATCCGTTAACGATCTCTATTATGGAGTGGCACATGTGACAAGATCTGGGGTGTGCAGGGCTCCTATCTGTACCCCCCCCCCCCCCCCCCAAACTAAAAGAAAAAAAATCCTTCTTTCCCTTTTCCCTAACCCAATGTCAGATAGAAAATGAAATTATACAAAAATAAAGATAGTTATGCACATTTGGTACCCTACAGGAGAAAAAGATATGAAAAAATGCTAACCCAATAATATTTAGCACCTCCAAGGGACATTTTTTGTCCAGAAATTTGCTTGCCTTTTGAGATTATCTTCTCTGTTTGTAGGTGATATATTTAGGGCTCATTCCCATTGGAAATATCAGTCTTCGTAGATCGATCAACTCTGAGGAGACACTTGCTGAATGCAACCTCCTTGTGTAGAGTAGAATACAGAAAAGCTGGTGATTATACGAGTACATTGAAAGCAAGTGGTCATGTTAATCTGTTAAACTGATTGCATTCAGCAGAGTAAAATCAATCTACATAGACCAATAGTTTCAATGGAAATGAGCCCTTAGCAATCAACCCAACATGTTGTTTGTAGATATTGTGGGAACAAAACACAAACAATACCAAGTACTCTACTTTTTCATCAGAATCTGCTATGCACACATTTTAGAAAATGGGTTAATATTTGTGGATTTATCACATCGAAAAGAAAAAAAATCCATTTCAAAAGCACTTTGATCCCCTTCATAAAGCAGGACAAGCAAAATAACAGAAAAAAAAAACAATAAAATGAATCTATATTTACCAATTTAAAAAATAGTAAAAAGTAACAAAACTTAGCAGAATATGCATTTATTTAGTTCAAAAACTAAACTATAAATAAGTAAACTGACATATGTATATAATCATTTAAAAGACACAAACAGTAAGTTAACAGGGAGAGCACTTAGGATGAAGTTGCTTTTTCCACATCAAAACATCACACAAAAACAATGCCATCATAAAAATCTCAAAAGTCATTGAAATAATAGACAATGTGTTGTCCATGCTTAAAAGGCAATGTTTCCACGGGTTCTGGGTAGAGTAAAATATGTAAAGTTTAATATTAGGTAGGCAGTTCATTTGTCAGGCATTAGAAGCAGTGTCCAGTGGTAGGTTAAATTCTACTGACTTTTGATCAAAACCTGTTTATAGCTTTAAGTCTATACAGTTAATCAACTGAGAATAAATCTAAACACAACATGAAAAATATCTGGAGCATGAAGAAAAAAATTGGATTGAAAATCAAAAAGGTGGGACTGTTAACAAGCTGCAGTGTATCACTGCTTTTAAGTAATTGCAGTTTGAGTCTCACTGGCTTAGTAGTCACAGACACATTACTTGGGGTCTTACTTTACTTTTCTGATAAACAAGAATGACATATTTAATGTGTCATGTTCCTTTTTTACTTCCCTGACATAACACATGTCAGCGTTATGTACACGCCATTACCGTGATTGAGCACACTCCGTAGTTCTAAATACGCACCAAATTAAACTAATGCAAATCCATAATCTTAATTCACTTTACATTAACTGCATTTGCCATGCCAAAGTTAGGCAATTTTCACTATCCTGTTTCAGAGCTAATGAACAGATATTCAATTGATGGTAATACTGCTAACACACAATAGGCAATTGATCACAGCTAATTGCACTGGATACACATGCCAACCATAGTTTTCAAACTACAATTATGCATGATAGCTGTATCAAAATTTCCGGTGTCATATTTTCCCCACATTTAACAACAAAGTAACCTTTATTGCATGTGACCTTTTCCAAACAAATATACCAGGATCATATTCAGAGCATAGGGGAATATTTGTTATCTGAAATGTGGAGTATTTGGCTAATTTTGATGCAAAGATTGTTCACTTTAATCTTAATTATCTAAACTAGCCAAGTTGGAGCTAATTGCATTCCCATCTGGAAGAAGCTTTAATTGGTTCTAGATCAATATCAGAATTTGTACTTTTGATGAACATTCATAGTATTGATTTGACAGACCCGTCTTATAAAAAGAACACACTATAGTTGACTGGAATATGTGTACTGTTTAGCTTTGAAGTTGCCTAAGTTATGTATAGTATACTGATTGCAGAACACTCAAAGATCAATAGAGTTACCAAAAACAGATGATATCAGTACTGAATATGAAAGAGTTCAACTGAGTATCAATCCCTCTTTTTCAAGTTGCCATAAAAGTATTTTTAAATACTGTTTTAAAATATTGTCTCATGAAGAACTTCATATGAATTACTTAGCAATTGTTTTAATAAAAAAACTAAAACATACATAAGTTTTTTTGTTTTTTAATTTAAAACTAAATTGTTGTTTCAAGGATGTTAATATCATTTTGGTCGTCAGTTTCTTCAAGTTGGTCTGCATTCTCAGTGACAGCTCCACTCTGCCTTGCCTGCAGTAATCTCACTGGTACTGGAGAGCTATGGCAAAACTGACAAAGTCTTTTGTTTGATATTTGTGCATCTTGGGATGGGGAAGCGACAGTGGGGGCGGGGGTGGGAGCAGGGGCAGGTCTCATGGAGAGGGCATTTTCATAAGATGGCGGGGATTCACTAGGGGTCGCACTAGTCAATAAACTCTGTGCCAAACTTGTACCATCATTTGTATTTGAAACATTATGAGTGTTTTGCATCAGGTTTTCATGGGGCATGTTGTTCATCATATCAGACTGTTGAAGTGATGTGGTGTTGGTAGGTTTAACAGGTATTTGTGTGGGAAGACTGCATTTCTGTGCTGTGTCAGCTATGGCGGAATGTCGAAAAAAGTTGCTGACTTTGTTACCACCATCTAAATTTTCACTCCTACACTGAACACTAGATGATGCTGTATTTGCCGTATAAATGGAAGCAACTCGATTTGCATTCATATCTGCTGGGATGGGCCACTCAGTAGATTTTGAATCACTATTACTTTTTTGCTCTAAGGCACATCTGTTCACTTTTCTGTCATTACTCTCATCTTTTTGTTGCTCCTGGCTTTTACTTAAGTAATTATTATTCATAGCACTGACAACATTTCGAGGTAACACCTGAGCCTGAGAAGAGTTTTTTTCAGTCATTTGAGGATTGCCTGCTTTGCCGCAGGAATCTTTACTGCCATCTGGTGCTTTGGGAGCTGTTGGGAGCCTCGCATTGTAACTTCTTGATTGGCAAACCCCTCTAAGTCTTTTTCCAGTGGGTTTTAAAACTTTTTTGGCAAATTCCTGAAAATTTGACGCAGAGACTGACATTGGGAAGAAAGTTCTGTTCCCCTTACTTTTCTTGCTAATTCTAGAAGCACCACCAGTGGAAAATAAACCAGACCTTAACTGATTGAAGAAATTGGCAATGGATGACGTCCTACTAGGAGGTGTCGCATTTTCTGACTCATCGTTATTATTTTCTTTGTCCCAAAACACTAAATTAAAAGGCTTAGATGAAGATCGTCCAATTAACTGTGGGAAAACCACATGTCCATTGACACTTGTTGGGGTTAAGGCAGTGGCAATGTTACTGTTGGCATCTCGAGTATACTCCATTAGGAGAGCCTCTGAGTAACTAGGAACCAAAGTGTAGTTTTGCTTTATAGCTGCCTCCAACTCTATACTGTAAGCTGTAGAACTTCTTGTCACCTGACAGGAGGCACAGCTGACATTTAAATAGTTGATACCAAATAGTTTATGGACATGATAATGGACATAGGCAGTTTTGTATTGTATTATCACTCTTAAAGGCCATGAAAGAAGCATTAACGAGCTGAACCAAAAAACAATGTGGGAAATGTACCAAGGCAGGCGTTGTGGATTCCCAAAGGTAATCACATAGTCTCTGAAGTTGGCATTAAGCAAGTCTAATCCTTCTTTAGTTTCCATGTAATCATCTCGACTCTCATTTTCCTGAAAAAATTCAATTCTTTGCTGTTCAAATTCTGCCTCTGCTTCTGGGCACGCAAATGAAAACCCTTTGGTGAATCTGATTTTTATGGCTGAGTAATTCTCCAGTCCTACGAGAGTTCTTGACATATCTTTCACACCTGCATTTAGAAAATTATAAGCTGATCCAGCTGTGTGGGAATTCACCCTTTCATAATAGACCTGGGTGCTAGTGAAGGCATCTCCATTACGGTATCTGGTCACTTGCCTCGTTCGCCTGACATAATGGTAGCATACAGATTTCCACCACACAACAGGAAAGGCTTCCCGCATTGCTTGGATCTTTTCATAGACTGTATTCACATCAGAGCGTCCACGTAATTCAAGCCTTGTGTGGCAGTGCCAGCATTCCACGAGGTAGACAAGGTACAGCATAACTACAAAGGCAACAGGAATATAGACGTAACCATCATCACAGGGATTGGTCTGATACAGTTGGATAACATAAACTTGGCCGAGGTTGGTGGAAGGCTGCTGGGTGTTTGACGATAGTCGGCACCACAAAATGGCGGTCAGGCAGCCGCTGATCAACAGCGTTAGGATGAAGCATTTCCAGTGGGTGTTGCGACGAATGGATTCGCAGAAGTTTAACTTGACTGGGTGTTGCTGAAAATAAAAATGAAAATTAAGGACCAGATTAAGTTGGTTATTCCAATTAGCTGGTCAAATAAAAGTGTGTTTCAAACTGAATTTGTATTGTTTTATGAATAAATCAATGATTTAGCTGGTTAAATAAAAGTGTGTTTCAAACTGAATGTGTATTGTTTTATGAATAAATCAATGATTTAGCTGGTTAAATAAAAGTGTGTTTCAAACTGAATTTGCTTTGTTTTCAGAATAAATCAATGAAATTAACCACCTATATGCTTTAAATCTAATCTAAAATCATGTATTTTTGCCATGTAACTGTTTCTCAAGTAAACTGTCAAAAAAAATTAAAAATGAAAATAATCAAAAACTTTTGAAATGCAGATTTACTTTAATCGAGGAAATAATACTTGGACTCATGCAGATATATTTCCATGCAAATTTCATTTGAATTGCTAACTTCTCATTTTACCATCTATTTTATATTCATTAACTACATTTACAAGCACCTGCAAAATTTACTTTTGAAGCACAGTCAGGTTTTTCCTAGCCAAGTTACTTCATAAGTAGCCAAGCCAAGTTACTTCTGGCAATTTCATAATGTACTTAAGTCTATATCTAAACTCTAACCAGGCCAACAATTTTGCAAATAAAACCTTAATAATAATGCTACAACTGGTCACAATTAAATTAATGATAAGATAATAATATTGATAAGATCAAATTGCCCTTCAAAATAAATAATCACCAGGTAAAAATATAAAAATTGTATTGGGTACACTGAGCACAGACATCGGATGAAGGCATTACCTACCACACACATTATGATGACTTTTCACAGAGCATTGCTCACTTCACCCTGGCTACCACTGTTACACTGACTAGTCAATATGGTCTCCTAATGTATATATGTGTATTCAGTGAAACTCCAACACAGCATTAATTGGGGACAACATCACGCCCCTTTCTGGTGGTAAATACAAGGGTATGACCATTAATTGCCTATTATTTGGATTGATTATGCTTCTTGTTCCCTTGATAATTACTTAACTTACTTACGGTCTGAAAGCTAATTCCTGTCGCTGTAAAAGGTTGCGTATACTGTTGCTTCATTAATTGTCAACAAAATCTCGCCATTGTGATGAAAAAGCTAGACTATAGCTATTGTTTGAGGAAGCAGCTTCTAAATTGAGAGTTAAACTAATGTATAGGGCAATTTTTAATCAAGTGAAATGTAGATTTGGTAAAATACTGAAACCTTGTCACTTATGGGGCAATTAATTAAGTTTAATTATCAATAATGTCACATGAAAGATGGATGATGAACTCATACATATTTCATTGCTATCAGCAGAAGAAGCAATATATTAAGACACTAAACTGCATTATTTGGGAAGTGATAACTGAGCATAATATTGTCAAGTCATTTTAATATCAATACACACGAGTAAAATTTTTACTTTCTCATGCCAAATTGATGAATCTCATGACTGCAAGATGTGCAATTTAAAAATAATTAATAAAGAATAACTGAATAAATAAAAAAAGTGTGATAAAGTGTCCCAATGTTGAGATCATTACATGCATAAAATAAGGCAGCACATACATGTACCCTCCCTTACTGTAAAAAATAAACAGCTAGTATTATATATCTATACGTGTATATCCAAGTGTGCATGGTAGGTTCAGTGTGCATGGTCAATACCCATTAGCCCATCCTGAACATGATAAATATAACTGCATGTCTATTACTGGGCTCTCAGCATCCTTAGTTAAGATACTAATAACCAGTGTATGAATTAGACCCATGGGGAATATGTTTCTCACATAAAAAATCTCTATGACTGCGATGAAACAAACTCGGTTCCGTATGTTTTAGAGTTACCATGGCCATGCTCCTGAGAGTTTAGTAATGAAAGTTCATTTCCATGTCTAAAAATTGGGCAGCTCTTTGAGTCCCTAAACAGACAAGGTACGGCACAGACAGATCTACATGTATAATTTGATTTAATTTCAATAAATTCTACTATACATCATGCCATCAAAGTTTCATCACTTGCCTGACATGGAATTTGGAGATAGTTGTCTTTAGGCAAATCATGTTAGCAAACACGTACATATTTGAAAAAGAAATTCTGAGGAGTTTACAGGTACAATGTAACAGAAATATTTATGTCATGTTAGAGGTTTAGTACTTTTTTTGAAATCCTGTTTATGGTTTCATCCAGATATGTTAGAGACAGGCTTACAACTGAGAGCTATTGCTGATTTTACTCACTTTATGTTCATCAGGATTAAAAGAAAAAAAAGTAAATGTCTAAACATCAAACAATTTCTTGCAGTATAACTATATCTATATATTTATTAGAATATTTTTCGTGATCTATGCATTTAAGACGAACAGCTTCACTTGTTTTCAGGCCAGCTAAAAGTATTCTTGATATATCTAATAACCGCATAATACAGTTACTCCTGACATAATTGCATAAACTGTCAGACTTGTAATTCTTACATTCCTCAGTAAGAACTGCATTAAGGTTTATTGTATGAGACAAGCCAAACTGGGAACTCTTAGCTGGCCCAGTGTAATTTGTCAGCAGCTAAGACAGATATAAGCCCTTACCAACAAAATAGGCTTCCAGCAACGGTTACGAGAGAACTCCTGCAACATTTTATGTAAGGGAGGACAGTGACAGCCATTGGGACAATGAATGTCAGAATTAATGAATGAATGAATAAATGAATGAATGGAAGAAATAGAAAGAAAGAGAGAAAGTGGAAGACTACATGAATATCTGAATGAACAAATGAATGATTACATGAATGAATGGATGGATGAACAGATAACAGATAAATACAAAAACCAATTTTAAAAGAGCAAATTTTTTAATGACAGACTAATTGTTTTGTGATATGCTTCAATATCTTAATAGCATTGTTAAAACTACAAAGTGCATGGAAAAGCACTCATACTACAGCACATTCGCTTAGTTTTGTTAACCAGGATGATTAAATTAAAAACAACATAAACATAAAAACTTCACCAGTTTTTTTTTCCTGAGACTTATTATTTTTTGCTGCCCTATATATCTTGCCAGGGGCAGATTCAGAATTATTTGAAGGAATGACATGCCTCGGGTGAGAAGCCAACTCTTACCCTCCTTAGAGTGGGGTTCGTGGCCTGCTGGAGGGCCCATAAAAGTTTTGGCATTTAAGAGGGCAAACAGAACCATTTGATACAGTTTAAAACTATGATTAAGCAAGTCAAAATTCTAATTTCAAGAGGGCACTATTGGTGTGATTTTTTTTCAGAAACCGAAGGTGGGGTCAGGACCCCCCTGACACCCCCTAAATCACCCACTGCTTCCATACCTCTTGACCTGCGTCTCCGGCCACCGACTGCCTGTCTTCACTGCTCTCCGCGTCCAGTCGCATCCTGGCATATCTCACTCTGCCAGACCAGACGAAACCTTCTCAACCATTGATAGTCACCTAGAAGGGATAACAAAATTAACTTTAGAGATGATTTGGAATTTTCGGATAAAAATTACTTTGACTGCCTTAAGTTTTTAGAATTATGCTTGATCAATATTCTCATTGAAACAAATGCAGGGCTAAGATATAGTAATACTAAGAATCTAATACCCATGCATGCATCATAGAAAAGGAATGTCTTAAAACAGTTCAAATGAAACAGAGTATTGTCTAATTACTTAAAATTAGGGGCTTCATTATATCTAGTCTGCTTGCAATTGACATGTCAATGGATTGTTATTACTTATAATATTATTATTCTTTTTGTTTTGTTTAATTGTTTATTTCTATTTTATTTACCTATTATATATATATATATATATATATATATATATATATATATATATATATATATATATATATATATATATATATATATCATTATTACCATATAGGCCTAATTATTTCATTCATTTATTTTCATTTATTTTTTGTTGCTTGATTTTTCCCTTGGGTTCCCTTATAGCCAACAAGGTAAAGGATATATGATACCTAGAATCTACAATAGATTAAAACAACACAATCTAAGTGCACAGAAAATGTCCCTGATCTCTGTACGTCTTATCGCATACATGTACATGTATATGCGACCAAGCTAGTTATTTGCCTGGAAGCGAAAACAGATTATCAAATTAAGTCATCGCTATTTTAAAGATATTGAAGACAGGGACTGGTAACTTCTTTCGCTTTCAGCCCCTAAAGGAAACTGATAAAAAGGGCACTGATAAAAAAAAAATGTGGAAACTCCAATGAACCCCTGCGACATGCATTCAAAATTCCCGCCCCATGCCAAAAGACATACATGTTGTCTAGCCCTGTTTGAATAAAATACCTTGTTTTCAGTTATTTGGTTGTCTTCTCTAAGGAAAAATTGCAAAAATAAAAATTTCCCAGACTTTTTATCAAGTGGGACCGAAAAAAGATGATACCGGGGAGTCAGTTTTTGGTATTGTTACGACAGACAGACAGAAAAGGAAAGTGTAACTATACAAGTAGGTCAGTAAATTAGGTCAAGTGGATAAACATCCCACGCATGCAGCATGGCGTGGAGTGGAGTCCGCAACTGTATCGTCGGAGTAGACGTCGGAGGCACTAACACAGACGCTGTCTTGCTGTGTAAAGAAGAAGTGTGTGGAACAGCGAAGACGACGACAACTGATGACATTACTAGCGGAGTTGCTCGGGCAATTGTGTCTGCTGTAAACGATGCCGTCAACAAAGGTCAGGTGGACAGCCTACATGTAGCTTTTACTTCCAGTCCAGTCATAACATCTGCTCTTTTACATGTATAATATATATGGATAGTATTATGTGTGCAGAGTCCGTAGTAATCTGATACCTGTTGTACGCCCGTTGTTGTTATTATTGTTGTACGGGCGTTTATTATTATTATTATTATTATTATTATTATTATTATTAAATTGTGCAAAGAAAGTTGGTTTAATTAGGACGGCCTAATTAGAAACGGACAGCTAGCGTCCGCACATCCCGTAGGGATCATGTAATAATTTTTTGTGCTGTTCTCTTTTTACACCCTCCTCCCCCACATGTATATTATTTACATGCTGATATTCTAAGTTTCAGAGCCATTTAAGTGCTGTTCTCTCTCTTGTGGTCTTTTCACTGTTTATATTGATTGTCACTAAGTAAATATAAAAGCAAATGAACATCTCTTGATACTTTCAGATACTGACATAAAAAAAAAAAAACATCACACCTGTGGAACAGTAATAAATGTATCAGTAACATATGGCTTTTCAGTTTAATGGCAATTAGATTACATGTACATATAAAATTTCAAAATTCTATACATGAATTTGATAGCCTAATTTTCCTTTTAATGCCAACTTTGAAGGCCTAAAAAACCTTGCTTCCTGTGCATACCCCCCCCTACATCCCATACACCTACTTTGTATCCAGTAAGCAACAGGTGTATACATACATCGTCAGTTCTCAGTCAGTTATCAGTTATGTCATGCTCTGATACATGGACTTACAGAGAGATAAAGAATCATTTTTATAAATGGAGATCAAGATCGACTAGGAGGGGGTGGATTAAAAGTTAAATGTTTAAAGAAAGCTCAAGTGAAGAGCCCTACTTCCCCCCCCCCCCCCCCATCCCATCTGGTATCTACCATAGATATGGATGGCTATATATGTATGATAGTTGAATATATGATTATGAGAATGTGTGTGTGTGTGTGTGTGTGTGCATGTGCATGCAAATATGTTTGTGGAATAGATACATAAAATGTGAATGTTCACTAAATTGTACATTAATTGTTTTATCTGTAATACCCAACACGCCTTCTCTTTCTGCCCAACAAAAGTCTGTTGTAGAGTATAAAGGCAAGTCTGTTGTGTTAAAAAAAAAAAAAAAATACTCAAAACTTTTCTGAGTCCGACTTCATTTAATTGTCACATTATCCGTAGAACAATGTGTTTGTATATTTACCTTAAGATGAATGAATATATAACACGTACCCTACCTTTACTCCTGTGTACAAACCAGTTATCCTAGGAGTCATACCAGAGTTTAAAAAAACAAAATGCCTGTATGTTCTCTATTAGCTGATGCAAATAAAAACATAATGGTGGGATAAATAAAAAAATTATGAACTGATATTTCTACATGAAAAACAGCTCTGCGACAGCCACACCAGAAAGAAGTCGAAATTACCTTGAGAGCTGCTCAAATATCTCACTAAGTCCTCCCTACAGCCATTCCTAGCTTAAAGTTTATCAAAGTATTTCATCACGCATATCTTTCTTGGGTCTCTTGATCCTAAGAAATCAATGACGGCTTTTAGATGGTTAGAGACGAAGTAAATGGAACACTCTGGCTCTCAGAGCAGACTAACAGGAGTGTCATTTTCATTTGCCGACATAATTGTGGCTATGATGTCAGAGTGGCCCACTGGAAGCCGGCTTACAATGACATACAAGTTTGAACTGCTAAATGAATATTGACTTCCGCAGTGCCTTCAGGGCCGCCGTCTCCTGGGCAGCAGTTGTGGCTCCTATCCAGCTGTTCAGCAGCCCTGCAGAAAGATGGTATTGAAGTGGAAAAATGATTGAAACATTATTATCTGATTTTACATCTCTCCTGTCTTTGATCTTGGGGTTAATTGTGTTTTCAGTGAAAGTGGCTCTGGCTTTCTTCCTCCAGACACTGAGCAAATTGCTGAACTGACAGTATTGTCGGCGTTTTAGTTTGGATTGATCTGGTTGGCTCATTACTGAAAAACACAATGAGAATCGTCCAACAAATAATCCATGTTTTTCAAGTACTCAGCTGTGCACGTTTTATAGTATAGGAGACGAGAAATGAATCCATTGCTCAAGTCATAAGATACTCCTTTCTGAAGTTCTAATTGAATTTCCTAAGAGAGAAACATGACAATGTAAACCTTTTTAATGGTAGTAAAATGTCACACCTTCGTTAATTGATCTGAAATCTGTAATAAAAGTGACACTTGAAGTGCTTTTTAGTTTCAGCACTTTTCTTCCATATGTCTAGCCTTTGTTGAGAAGGAGGAATCTCGGTAGTTACCTAGTAATATGTGCCACATGTCAATAAAAGAAAGGATGCACATTATTCAATTCAGAACAAAAAAGGACTATTCATTTGGAATCGATAAATTCACATTTAATGTCTGAAGGGCCGTGATTCACCGGGTCATTGTTTTTGGAAATCTGGCCTAAGTCGCATTCACATTATAGATGAGTTGACCCATCTTGGTGCAACCCTTGAGCATTTTGATTGAGTAATATATGTGATTGAGTAATGCCAATGGATTGTATGCTGTGCCCAGTATTGAGAATGCTAGTGGTCAGGATAACATGGACTGGGTTTCCGTACCTAGAATGATCTAACAGGATCGATCCGTCTTCAAGGGGTTTCTTGTTAAATTGCTTTCAGCTTAAGCAGCTTAGATGTCTGGGTCGCTACTAAAGCTTATAAACAATAATTAATTACCCCCTAGCAGGCATGATAGACATCTAAGCTGGTTAAGTTGATTGCAATTAAGCAAGAATCCCCTCGGGGATAAATCGATCCACAGTACGATAGGGTCTGGGAATGGTCCCCATGGAGCTTCCTTGCAACGTTGCCTCAGTGTCATCCGTGTAAACGAGGCTAAAATCCCCATGATTTCTGATTTAGATGGACAGAACTCCCTTGTGATATTTTCCTTTCCACAGCAGTGATCAAGTGTATATTAGAGATATCTTTGTCCATTAGTAGAATACTAGGGGTTACCGGTTTTAGGCAGCTTGATAATGGAAATCTGCAGAACTATTGATTTTTATTTTGCATTGTAGTATTGATAGTGCTTACATTTGGCAAGAGGTGATGGTCAGAGTGTTTTTTTTTTCTCTTTTGTCTTTTTTTTTTAATCTTGTTTTTCTTATTATCTTATATCATGGCAATGTTAATTTATTTCTACATCTAAATAGATAAGGCAAAGTATGCTAATGTATTGAACACCTTTGTAGCTTGTACAGTAGTTAATGACAGCTAGAGAACTCGAAAGAATTCATTGTACCTATTTTGTAGGAACATTTTTTGAGCTTCACTTAAATCTCCATAAACCAATATTTTGACTATCTTATCCTGAACATGCTACAATTCATGATATTTAAATGTCATAAAACTTGTCTTGCCTAGGAAGTTTCAACTTTGAATTACTTGTGAAAAAAACAAGACACTGACATTGCCTTTAACATTAGCTCCTCAATCTCAAACACAATTTTAATTTATTTTTCATTTAAAAGGGGTATTTTCATAAATTAAATGTTTTTTTTCTGTATTTTTAGGGCAAAGATTATATGTCTAGAGAAAAATAGAAGATACAGATCTTCCATAATTTCTGAAGAAAAGAATGCAAACTCTGCATTAAGTTACTGAAAAATAAAAGATAAACTAAAAATTCACATCTTATTTTCAGGCTACCGCATTGCTGTTGGGCGTATTCATATAGGTACCACACACTTCATAAATGCAGTAATCCAGCGCAAGAACCTGGCAAAAGTGGCAGTCATCAGACTATGTGGACCCTCAACTCGCTCTCTGCCCCCATTTTCAGACTTCCCAGAAGATTTAAAGAAGGTATTTCAGTTTTAAAAAAAATCATTCTGTATTGTAAACATACTACCAGCACATACTGTATCACACACCCCATTTCCATAGATTAGATCGACCTACTTTAGATCGACCTAACTCCCTGGGGGTTCACGCTAAATAGCTGTCAGCCGGGCGGACACGAAAGTTAATTACCCTCTTACAGCTTGTAGTAGGCGGGACGGACATTTAAGTCGGATTATCTGAAAGTAATCTAGTGAGACTCCCCGCGGGGATAGATCGATCTAAAATCTATGGGAATAGAATAATAGTGTTGTCCTGGTTCTGATAGTGCTGATATGGACTAAATTCTCGAATTTTCTAATTGTCATCCATGTATAAAAACTGCATCATACAACTGCACATATATATATATGTATCTTATGTGGGCACAGATACATGTACATACAAACATTGTTATAATTTGTTTCATTAGAGTGCTTGTCCATTTAACAATAATAAGCTTAAGGCATCTAGAAGATAAATAGGAAAATTTTAAACACAGACAGCCCTGTGTATTTTCTTCTGAAAGTGATGTTTTGTCATTATATATATATATATATATATATATATATATATATATATATATGCCTTGTATATTTAGGAAGTTTGCGGGTTGAGCATTTTTGCCAGTGGAGGATTTCAGTATGATGGAACAGTGCTGACACCTATAGATGAAGTAGAAATCTGCCAACATGTAGAGGAGCTGAAGGCAAAGGGAATTCAGAATGTAGTGATTACAGGGGTATTTTCACCCACCAAACCAGAGCAAGAAATCCAGGTTGACATAACATTTCTTAAACTTTTTACCAAAGTTAGAAATTATGTCACATTATAGACACTAAGGGAAATTAGTTTGTGCTCCTTTTGCAGGCTGTAGTAGTTGTACAAAATTACTCATAGAACAATTTTTCCCTCAGCAACTTGAATAAACCTTTGTTTCCAGATAAAAATCATTAAAAAACAGAACCACATACTTATACCCCTCAAGGGACATTTTTAACATCAATATATTCCACGTATAAAATTTTTTTATCCATGTGTGTTATCCAGGTGCACAGGTGATTATTTGTCAGGACAATGTGCAATGTACAAATAGAAAATATATATGTTGATACTCATTGGATGCCTTCTTGTTTTGCAGGTTTCTGAAATCATTCACAAGGCTTACCCAGCATGCAGCATCACCAAGTCACACACCATCGGTCAAATAGGACTGTTAGAGAGGGAAAATGCAGCCATCTTAAATGAATCATTAAAACCCATTAGCAAACAAACTGTAAATGCATTTAGGCTGGCACTTAAACAGGTTGGCCTTAGCTGTCCTTTTTTCTTAACTCAGAATGATGGAACATTAATAAGGTGAGTGCCCTGGGCAACATTTTTATGGACACTGTTAAGAAATTTGTTTAAAACAAAGCTCTGGGTGTTTGGTGATTTCTCGCTAAATTTGAACTAAATTGATTGATTAAAATACCCCAAAGAATGTACTAATAACAAAGTAATACCTGCAAAAAAATTAAAAGCTGTGGATTGACAGTCTTGTTCATATCTGCATTAAAGTGTATCAGTGTTGGTAACTTAGAATAAATTAATAAAAATTACCAAGTAAGGCATATGAAATGTTGGAGGCATTACTGTAGATTTTACTGATCACCACTTTGAGGCTATTGAGAATTGCAGGGATGCCCTGGTTTGATATTTACATTCCCTGGTAGCCTGAGCGGTATGCCCAGCAGGTGGTTAGATGAAGTAAACATAGAGAAACCAACATTTAAAAGATAAATATTCAACTCTTTGTAGATAAAAGATAAAAAATATAAAAAGTCTCTCAGCTTTGGGGGAGAGTTAGAGGGAGAGAAAATGCAGGCTAGTTAAAAAGAAAGAATATTTTTGCCTAAATTATTAAAAATTTAATTTTGTATCTGGTATCCAAAAAACAAACAAAAAAAGACAAGAAAAGACAACACTTACTATATGTATGTATTTTTCTCTGATCATCAGTGCCTAGAAACAGTCAATTAGCATGCAGCCTTAAGCTACAGTTTATTAGCCTACATTTTCATGAGTGCTATTTTTCTCATTTTGACAACTTTCCAAAGTTTAATGCTTATTCAATGTTAATAGTGCATGCATCACATTGAAAACAACATGGTAATTTGTTAATGGACCCTTTTTGACATCTAGAGTAAATTAATGTAATTGTTACAGTCGACATAGGACACATATCACCCAATTAACACACTAAGCACTTTATAAGTTTTAGTAGCAAATGGGATCCTATGAGCTGCTCATCACATAGAATTTCTGTGTTGCATGATATTCAATTTTCTATGACTTTTCCATTTAAATGTATTTTTAAAGGCATCTATTTTTCTCTGTAAAATATGGTAAAATGGAGCAATTTGTAGCATTGTAACAAGACTTAGTGCAACCATTATCATTTCACACATCGTTAGCAACAAGCATTATAATGACGCAGGTGTCTCACCTAGAATCAGTACAGGTGGAAGTGGTACACAGAATGTGCTGTTTGGAATACTTTAAACCATGCATCTGATATGTTGATATATTGAAGAGAGATGTAAACATTTAAAAAGTATGATCTGATATTGAATACTGATGGAAAGTTAAAACATTCATGAAAAGTCTGAGAAGAAAATTGTGGGAGATTTAATTGGATGGTTCTTTGCTGGGGTGAAGATGCTAAAACACGTACAGTAAAGATATCAAACCTATACTAAATGACATGACTGACTGTAATAGCTGTATTCATGGGGCCCATGGGTATTAAATGGGTTTGAAAACTGACTATTTTCCTTGCAAACTGTATGATGTAAAGGATAAAGTTCGATGAATATTGATATTTGGAGAGTCCTCGCAAATGTTAGGCAGAAGATTGATTTCCTGTATGCCTCTTGCAATTTGCTTTTTTGATAGAAAATAGATAATTTTGTTTCAATATTTATGTATAGATTTAATACTTGATGTGCCCTTTGCTCACCAGTATTGACCACAGCGATAGTTGCCAGTTTACACAGTGGAATATTCTTTGTCTCTGATTATGCCCTTTTCCAAATTTTATAATTTAACTACTCATATGCTACATATGTATTCCATTTCATGGCTTTGATTTTAATGAATGGTGATGGTAGCAAACAAACAAACTTTAACTGGCTTGTTCACAAGCATTCTAACCAATCCATGGTTTATTCTGTGTAAATTAAGCCGTCCCTTAGGCTAGTGTTTCCTGCGTATTGAAGCCCCCATCTTGAGTTCAGCAGTTTGATATTGTCATATAGTCTCTTTTACAAATGTTGCTTTTTAATTGAAGGGATTGGCCAGTTTACAAAAAGTGTAAACTGTGAGAAATTTGTGAGCACCATGCTAAAGTAAAATGTCGGCAGCTTAATTACAACAGTAGTACAAGGTCTCAAACATGCCCCTTGTAAACATACAATGCCATGGTGACAGTTGGAAGTGAGATATTATAATTAATTGTAACCATTAGCAAGTACTGCTTCCATTGGCAGCCCACTACAGAAGATAAAGTTGGGTTTTCCTACCTGGTTGTCCAGTGTTTCCTGTGTCATAAACACAAATCAGAAGATTGAGTCTCTTCGCAGTAGCAGGATGTAATGCATACAATTCCCAATGGTCTGATAGTATTGATGTCTGTAACCCTAGCGTCTTTTCATTTTATAACATCAAAAAACATCTTATTTGGTATTTGTTTCTTAGTAGCTTTGCTGATTTGGAAGTTCCATAAAAGATGGGATATTTTGTTGTGCTTGCTTATAAGGGGACTGCAGAGGCTCATGGGAGGGGCTACGTACTTTAACTGTCATTCCTGATTGGTCGAAAGCTGATGATGATGGTTTGTGGTGTTTTCTACAGCGTGAGTTCCTACATGGACTTGGAAAGGCGGTTGTTTAGGATTGTTCCTTGCTGTCAATCAGCGACTATACCACAAACCTTTAAATGGTTGAAAGAAAAGCTATCTGTGTTCACAGATCGGTGTTTTAGACCGGTAAGTGAACTGTTGTAATCCAATCAGGAGTGGCATTTGCTCGCAGGAAAATTGCTTTTGTTCTGACGTAGAACGACAGTCATTGGCTTGATCAAATCTTCCTATGTTGTTGGCCTAATTAGTGGAATGCACAGTATATTATAGTAACTGCATTTGCAAATAATTCAGTTTTCAACTTGTCCATTTTGTAAGCTCCCTGGAGTCCTCCCATGATCTTATCAATGGATACTGGTATAAATTAAGATTGGATGAATTAGAAATGACAACAGACAATTCTGTTCACTTGACCATCTTATAATACAATCATATACAAACATTGATCACCAATGTGCTTTACAGTATAATAAAATTAAGAAATGCATTCATGATTCAGGAAAACCATTGATCAAATTTTCGCCAGTCTGTGTGTGTCAGTCTACAGGCATGTTTCTTCCAATGGAAAGAAAGAAATGAAATAAGAACAACCATATGTCAGTTTGACCCATTTTACTTAATTATGATCTGTGTTTTAACATGTATCTGTCCATAGCTCTTACTACATATCTTCTGTATCTCTATTACTGCCAAAATCCATCTGTTTTACTTAATTAATTGTAAGTTTTTGTGAGATAAAAAAGGAGATTAATTTTTTAAAGACAAACTTATCTGTAGCCTGCAATTTTAAAGGTAGGGGAAATATTATTCTGAAGAAATGGACATAATAACACAAACTTTAAGAAGATAATATATGTAGTATACAGTGCCATTTAATTAATGATACCCCGAGGAACATGTTTAGGTTTGATTAAATACCATTATACATTTGAATTAAGTTTAAAATAACACCAGGTTTGATAGTGTTGAGTAATATTGAATGAATCATATAATGGAACATGTACAATATGATATTATTGAGATGAGTGTCACACAATTGCTTGTTCAAAGATTGAGTGCATAAAATTAAATTAAAATAAAATTGAATTTAGATATAAACTGTTTGAATCAGTTGTTTTCTGCAGAACGAATAAGGGTTCCAGTAGGTTAGGGATGTGCAAAAATGAATACCAGTTTGTTTTTTTTTTAATTATTGATTTTGTTCTTTTCAGTGCCTCAAAAGCTTTGGAACACCCTGTATCCACATTTTCTTCTGGTCCCACCAATAGCATGAGAGGAGCTGCCTTCTTGTCTGGTTGGTATCTGAGATAATAATTATGACCTTGGTTATAATTTTTTAATATTTTTTTTTTCATTTTTTAAGGACTTGTGAAGATTATCTTTCATTTTTCACCTTAGAGTTTTAGAGATATTTTCATATATGTGAAAGATGCAAAAAGAATATGTTTTAAATACTTTGTATCTGAATAAGATTTGTAAATGATTGGTAGATATAAAAAAATTGACGAAATTATTTCACTCATTATATCTTTGGTTTAGGAATTGTGCAATTTTGTTATTTTTTGTAATCTTGTATCAAAGAATGAAGTTATTGCTAAATTGTGTTTATATATTTGTATCAACTTCCATTTGTCCTTGGTACTGAGATCAGGATTTGGTCAAAATGTCCTCTTGTCATCAAATTATGTCTATTGTCTATATTTTGAAGACATGGACTATAAAACTTATGGAATTTATTTCTTAAATTTGGTCATCGACTACATATGATATGCAGTTGATCAGTTTTTTTAGGTGAATAATCTTTAATTTCTCATTTATTTGGTAAATTTTGCTGCAAATTACAATGTAAATGCATCTCTTATGACATGGTCAATCTGAGGACAGGTCATGTAGACTGCTGGATTCATGATGTCCATCTGTGCATCTGTAGACTAAACCAAATAGATTTTTATGTCAATTTTATGGATTGAATATCACTGAAACTACAGAAGACTGGTTTAAAGTTCCCACACAAATGAATTGGAAGTGACGTTTTGCAAATTAAAACATGGCTTTTGACCTTGAGTTAAATTTTAAGGCCTTTGGTTTGGAAATTAAATATTCCTATATTGCCAGTTTTATAGTATTAAACTTGATACATAGGCCTATCTCATGGTGATAATAATAATTTATTCAAGCATTAAATGTGACAGTTACATTTGTTAGCCCTATATACTACAAATAGATAAATAAATAGATATATATCACTATGGATTACTTCTTATATAGTGTTTAAAAAATACTTATCACATAGCCCTACATCTTTCTTCACATTCATGTCATGTTTCAGAGAAAAAGTGAAGGTGCTCAGCATTATAAAGGAATTTTGTGCATCGCTAGTATAGTTTATTTGGGGCCGTAGCAATAGTCTGAAGGTTCAATAGTCCGAAGTTTCATTGGTCCGAATGTTCACTACAGAACCTTCGGACCAATGAACCCTTGATTAAAAAACCTATGAAAATGTTACCGTTTTTCGGACCAATGAACCTTCGGACCAATGAACCTTCGGACTATCGAGACGCCCCCGTTTATTTGGTATCAGGAGGTCCCCCATCACCTTGACTGACCTCTACCTCAATACACTGAAGAAGTTTCTGTATTTAGTGATGACCTGGTACTAATCATGATTTAACATGCAATATTTCCTGTGTTTGCTACATGTAGCAGCTTTATGACACCATTTCAGATTAATCTCCACTTTATAACCTCCCCTGGGTTGGCAGTTCATCTGACTAGTTTTTAAGGTCCACTTATGTGATCCATTTGTTATAATTATAGCTCTGTCTCTCACCGCAGCAAAGGAGTCCATTTTTTTTCAAAACATCGAATAATGTGCCAGAATTTGCATGTCGTCAATACTCTCTGATTCTGGAACATTAGAAGTGGGCTTTTTTATGGCAACTGCAAGCTCAACATTTATATCTTAATGTCCATTTTATCCTTACTTGATACATCAAGAAGAAAGATAATCTGTTTTATTTAATACCCGGTAGGCAACCCTTACTAATGAAAGGGATGTTGATCCCCAAGGGACGTTTTATCAGACTGAACTGGTTTTATCAAAAGTTGATAATCTGATTTCTGGTCTCTTTCCAATTTATTATTCTTAGATTTATTCAAAAAGAAATGTCATGAAATACGCATGAAAAAGGCGAGCCCTTAAAAAGTTGACTGTAATTTAGCTTTAATTGGATTATGAACAGATCTCATGCCATCACATATTTCATCCCCGTTCGATATTTGTTGCTTGTCCATTTTATTTTCCTGCAGGCAAGCTAAGACTCTTCACTTGGAGCCTATTCCACAAAAAGTCAGAAGGTTTTGGGCTCATTTTCAACTTATGTTGGATCCTAGGTTGATAGATAAATCTAGGTTTAAGTTTGATTCGATGCAGACCTTTTTTCATCCAAAAAACGTTTCTTTCTAACCCTTGATATTCTGCCTATGAGCCTGGGAAAACTGCATGCATGACTGCTTGTAGTCTATTGTCCATTGCATCGTACGATGTCTATCCATTTTAGGAACAATTAAGTGACCCACAGTAAATATAGTTCATACATGGGCTGTAGCAACCTGAATTTTAGAGTTCTAGGAAACTGTCCACCCAATCCCTTGCAGTCCCCTGCCCCCCACCCCCACCCCCACCCCACCCCTCTATGTGACGAGGTCAATGAATCAGCTTCCGTCCAAATGGTAGGAAGCAGATTGTGGAAGTTAGTTATTAAATAAACACCCCTGTACTGTGTGATTACTTCTCAAATTGTGCCAGTATAGCCTGGATCTCTTCTAAGATATACTGCAAAGTACACTGCTGCGAGCGAAAAGAACTGTTAGGGCTCATTCCCAATGGTTCTATGATCAATACAACTGCGAGAGGATTCTCATCGAATGCAATCAGACTAGCATATTAACATGCCTCCTGTTGTTTCCAATGTACTAGTATAATCACCAGCTTTTCTATATTCTACTCATTGCCAGGAGGAGGCGTGTTGATCTGTTGTTCCGATTGCATTCAGCAAGAGTCCCCTCATAGTTGGATTGATCTATGTAGACCGATGGGTTCATTAGAAACGGACCCTAACACACAAGATGTGCAGTGCAAGTTTATCAAGCAGAATCCACCTCAGTTTATTGACTTAATGTAGAATTTTTTTTGAAATGGTACAAATTGCTTATATACATATTCCTCCAGGCTAGGATTTTTTTTTCATGTTGTTTAAAACCAATGTGCCTTTTTCAAACTTGAGGAAATGTTGCCTAAATGACCTGAGAGAGTTATTTGCTCTGACAGCTGCACATATCTTTCTTTTTCCTGTCAGAAGCTTTTAATATGGAACTCAGGAAAATTGAAATACCAGAAGGAATTAGTTAGATAACAACAACTCGCAGTGTCCCTGCATGTATTCTTGTTTGTCCATAAATGTTATTTCCTAATCTGGAAAAATATGACTTGTGATTGAATAAGTGTACCAGTGCATGTAGCCCTTGCCAATATGATATCTTTCAGAAGTTTATTTTATGTAGCATATATAGTGGGGCCAGTGCCAGTTGGAAAAGATAGCGACTTATAGCTGAAGGAGTCATGCCAGCATACATTTTAATTCCCTTATCAGTATGTGGGGTATTACGTGCCCTCCCCAAAGACAAGTTCTGCTGATGCAGCTCAGCCAGTAAACTTGGCCCTATCAGTTCACGTACCATGTGCATGTAGCAGGTGTCATCTATAGGTAGATATATATGTAATAGTAAGCATGCATGAAAGACTTTGATCACCTTTGAATTGCCAAAACGTGAAAAGAACTCACTAAGTGTATTCAGAACAGCGGACTAACAGATCCCCGGATCAAATATGGCCGACTCACTTGAATGTTCGTTGCATAATCACTGCAGGGAATCTATTCAGTGTCTAATCGAGAATTAAGCGGCAATCTTTTCAGCGGTTTGCCATATTTGATCCACGTATCTGTTATTCCACTGTTCTGAATGTGCTCACTGTATTGTGTATAACAAATAGAGATGGTGCGAACAAGACAAATAAACATAAATGCATTGATGATTATTTTTAAAAATTTACGGCTGCTAGCCCTGTAAATTAAACTGATTTTGTAAAACATTATCTATAACATTCTAATAAAGATGATAATGTTTTGATTCATTACCTTATGTAACTACATTTTAAGTTTAGGTCATTCTTGCCCTAGTGATGAAGATTTATGTTTGAATGGGATGTTACACTGCCATTCCTGTTTTGTATTTTCTATGAAGTGTACAGTTGAAATGACAACTGTTGTTTACTGGGTATTATGTGCTCTTTGTTGCTGCCAAAAGAAATGAATTTCATGTTCCATTCCTGCACACCTGGAATTCCCTGTAGCAACTGACAGAACACCTGCTGCAGAGACACATTATGAAATGATCATTCTAACAATTGGAGCAAATCCAATTTATATTATCTGGTCTTTCTTCTCTCTACAATGTGATTTTTCATGGTAGTTTTTTTTTAGTTCCAGACTTTATCGTCATCTTTATCTGACTGAAGACTGCCAGTATGAAAGTTATCAACAACCACTTTAAGTAGATTTTAAAGCATTTCAAATATTTTGAATGTAATTGGTTCAATATTGCATCCAAATGAAAGTGAAAGTGGGTAATATTAAAACTACACTTACTACTGGGTGACCTGTTAATCTCTCATAGCTACAAAGTTTCATTTAAAGAAGTTGTTGTAGAGGGACCAGGTTTATTCTTAATTTTATTATGATTTACAGATGCAACTTATGCATTGTGTTGTTGGATTTTCTTGGTTTGAATGATTACATTAAGTGGCAAGTTTGTTTTGTCTGGTACATAAATTTGCAGTAACTAATTTTGTATGTGTGAATCCCTGTGCCCGCTATGAATTGCAGAAAAGTTTCTCTCATTCCCCCTACAATGTGTTTGAAAAAAATTACAAAATAAACTTGCTTTTCAGTATTCTGGTTACAAATACACATGTAAGATATGTTTTAATCTGTCTCCCCAGCTTCCTACTGAAGTGGAATAGATATGTGATGTAATTAAGATAGGTAAATTTCACTGTGACCATACCGACGATAACACTGCACTGTGCTAATCAAGTCCCACTGCATCAATAATATTGCACCATAAAAATAAAGAAAGAAAGAAATTGGTTTTCATGATAGAAATGCCTTTTATTAGATCTAATCATAATCTAAAGGTTTTAATGAGCACATTTGAAAAAATAGCCTTTATTGTCATGCTTTGTGTCACCTGTCCACCTCCCAGTACACCTGCTGGTTAAATTATCTCTGGTGATGGAAGATAACATGTATGTATAGCCTTGAGGGAGATGAGACTTGAAATTGTGTTGTTTTGTGAAAAACACTTCATAAAATGACTCTTAAAAAGGAAAGCAGAAATGATTAATAAAATATATGTGTAGTCCTGATATCCTCACTTGAGTGCTGTAGTTAAAGTGAAGGCTTTGGATTTTTCCATCAAAATAGATTTTCCTTGGGGCCAATTTTCTCCTACTTCTGAGTCTAGATTCAACCTGTCCCTGCTCTTGTATTTAATTGACATTTTATTCCATCTAATTATTTGTCACTTGGTCTCTTCCTGACAGATACTGAAAAACTTCATCAAAATCTGTTCACAGACAGTTTTTTCCTTAATGTTGCTAACAGACAGACAGACAGACACACAGACAGATACACAGACAGACAAATGCAACCAAGAAACAGAACCTCCTTGAAGACTGAGCTGTCACAACTGTCATATACAAGGTGGGGATGCAAAGCATCTATTACCTTTTAGATTGGACACAGCTTACATCCTGGCCCTAAGTTATAATATATCTAACAGAGTTTGTGCAGAGTTTTAATTGCCATTGAAATGCTCTTAGTAGCCAGTGGTCATCATTTGTATTCCACTGCCATTGGAGGTCAGTGTTTCTCCATCAGTGAAGTGACTGTCTAGGTTAATGTGCTGATGAGAGATTGGGATCAGCGACTTGATCGTCTCTGGGACAATTAGTCTCTGAGTATGATTGGATTGGAAACACAAATGACCTGAAAGAGACCTGGAGGAAAAAAATGTGGTGGTTTCCTAGACCAGGGTTGGGGGATATGTGAGCTTGAAAATTAACTTGTTGTACGTCATTTGTCACAGTCAGGATGAAATAGATTTTGTGGTTGTTTTTGGAGCCTTGGTGCATTCATGTTTGACTAACTCGATTACTTCTGTGTTGATTTAGATTATTAAGGAGTTAAGACAGCAAAGCTTGTTAGAATAAAACAATTAACTTACGACCAGTCATCCAAGCTGATAAGGCTTGACGTCTTGCTTCTACCTTGAGGGGGAGGGGGGGAGCAAGTCTTCACACAGCTGCGAATTAGATGTGTAGTTAAAGGATATCATCTAATTCATAGCTATATTCTCCATTATATTATTATAATTTCAGTGCATTTATTACTACTGTTGATTTTAGAGCAACAGTATTGGGACTAACATTATTGAAAATAAAGTTCAAAGAATGATTTTATTGTACATTTTAGGTGTTCAAGATGCAGTGGTGATAGACATCGGTGGCACGACTACAGATGTTGGTGTTCTGGAGAAAGGGTTTCCAAAGGAGGCCGCCACCAGAATTCGGGTATATGTGATTATGGCATGTGTGTGTGTGTGTGTGTGCATGTGTGTGTGTGTGTGTGTGTTTGTGTGCATGTGTGTGTGCACGCCCATGCATCCATGTGTGCACAATGTATGTGAATGTACATANCCCGCGGCATAATTACTGGCAGCGCGAGCCAGTTACTATAAGTTACTATAAGTAACTGGCTCGTGCTGCCAGTAATTACGTGGCCGGATATTCAGGGCACAGACCGTGATCATAAGATAGCGCAAATAGAAAATAGAAATTAGAAAATAGACATTGCATGTGAACGAAGCCTTAGATGTGTAGTTAAAGGATATCATCTAATTCATAGCTGTATTCTCCATTATATTATTATAATTTCAGTGCATTTATTACTACTATTGATTTTAGAGCAACAGTATTGGGACTAACATTATTGAAAATAAAGTTCAAAGAATGATTTTATTGTACATTTTAGGTGTTCAAGATGCAGTGGTGATAGACATCGGTGGTACGACTACAGATGTTGGTGTTCTGGAGAAAGGGTTTCCAAAGGAGGCCGCCACCAGAATTCGGGTATATGTGATTATGGAATGTGTGTGTGTGTGTGTGTTTGTGTGCATGTGTGTGTGTGTATGTGTGTGTGTATGTTTGTGTGCATGTGTGTGTGCGCGCCCATGCATCCATGTGTGCACAATGTATGTGAATGTACGTATATATATATATATACCTATTTAGTTTTTCGAGAAGGATTTCTAAGCTTCTCTAATCATAATTCATTACATACCTATAGGATTGGATACATTAACATCCAGCTTAATTGTTCAAGCTGGAATTATGTGATATATTGTCCCTTAATTGCCAAGGAAAATAAAAAATAAAAATAAAAATAAAAAGTAAAATTCTCTGGGTCTTTAATTTTTTATCTTGTAAGGCCTGTACCATCTGTTGGTGCTTGTCACAGTCAAGTGATCTCAGATAGCTTTACGCTTTTTGGATTGATGTGTGAATCTGCTGGTTCTCCTCTGGGAATATGATCAAACGCAACTACAGTATTCCTACATTTTTGTTTTGTTTTTTTCTGTGATTCAATTGCTTTTTTGCCAATGTGAGGTAAATGTGTACCAAGGGTCTTCTGTACTTTTATCTGTTTAAAGAAATCCGGTCATTCTCAACTGAATATGAGAAAATATGATACCACTAAAGACATACTCACTCAGCTATTTTACTCAGCTATTTCTTAATGGAAAAGGGGTAAATTATTGATACTGTTTACTCCTTGAATAAATTTTTAAGGAAGAATTTTCTAAAGAAAGTGGTTCATGTACCCTTATAATCCTCTTTGGTCATTTAAAGCACTTACACATAACTATATTTGACTGAGATGGTTCCATAACAAAAGGAAGTTTTTAATATCTAATACCTTATTGGATGACTAACATACACACCATATCCATCTCAATTCATGGTTGAAAATTTTCAAGATTTTGCTTAATTTCACGATTTTCAGTCTTCATTTTGATTGTTTTATATATGGCCTAAATGCAGTGAGAAATATTGCAAGCTGTGTTTTCATGATTTTCAGTTTTTACAACTTTCACCCTTTTCTGTAGACTTTATCAGCAAAGATGAGTTGTTGTGCAATTTATCCATTTCTGTCTGTGAATTTGCGCAGTAGGGTGTGTCTCCTGGGGCCCTGTTCCATTATTTCCCCCAGGGATTATAAATAATGTTATCAGGGCAAGGCAGAAACAGTTTTCTAATTCTTGTGTATTTCAAAATATATATTTATGCCATACAAACTTAATGATTTAAAATGCGATGTCACAAGCTTTGGGGTTTAGCAACAAGACACAGGGTAAGTGTACTTGTAGATATGCATGTCCCCAGTATAGTCAGCTATACAGTGCCTAGACCCTAGAATGTAATGAGCAGTAGATTAATTTGAGATCAATTTGAGGTTAATCGGTATAAAGGTTATATGTATATGCACAAGTCATTGTGTGCTATAAATTTATGACAGCTATGTTAAATTGATTCATTTATTGATGAACTTGGAAGTACCTAGCCGTATAAAGACATAACAGAGAGAGGTTGATATGACAAGCACCAGCCTAACAACTAGCTGGAAACTTGTGTATATTCTGTGATATTATCATTTTCAATTTGCTCTATTTGTGAGTTGATTTTTGTTTTTAAAAAGACACTTCAGTTTTAATTTTGAAGGCACAAAAGTGTTTTTATTTTTATCTGTTTAAGCTTGATCCTGCTTGTCCTCATAAACATTTTGAATTTATCCTATTTTAATTTCAGGGATTTTACATTATCTTCTAGGCAGCTGCCATGCTAACTCTATCAATTCTGTAGTAATCTGACACATTAATAGTAGTTGAGATGCTGATTACTTTCAAATTTCTTGGATAGATTTGAAGACATTGTTACTGATAAACACAATTATAGCGTATATTTTAACCCAACATTTCTGCAAGTCACTTATCTTAGGCCCCATTCAAAACAGGGGACTAACTAGTCCGAGGGTCAAATATAGTGAACCACTACAAAGCTTGCCATCTAATCCACTTATAGACACTGAATAGATATCCCGTGGGGAAGTATTCAAGTGGGTCGGCCATATTTGACTCTCAGTCTAGTTAGTTCCCTGTACTGAATGAGGCCTTAGTCTTGGAAATTGCTCACTTATAATCAGTCATTGGAGTGTAGAAAAGTTTCTAGTTTAGAGCCACATTGGTTTTTAACTGGCGCCATCTCTTAAGTGCTATTCACTGCAATATCTCAGTATAGAGGCAGCAATCTAGAAACTGCATCATTAGGATTGAAACAACCCTCTTTTATCCTAGCTAGCAAGTATGTTATTTTAATCAATATATCAACAGTGTAATGAAATTTGGCTCATCTGTGGATTGAGTGGCATCTTTCTGGCATTTAGGGTTTAAGTTTTAAAAGAGTTGAAGCTTAATGATGGTTGTGCATAACCAACTTTCTTATCATTAAATGACAGCAGACAGGGTTTTTAAGGTTCACACTGCAGTGTATGGGCAAACTTTGGATGCATTGATATTTGGGGGGGGGGGGGGGAGAAGGGGGGAAAGTCATACACATGCAGCAAGTTATTGTTTCAAAACCTTCCATAAAATGGGAACTTTACCAGGCTTATAGACTTTCCACCTAATGTTGTGTCATCCTCACCTTAGTTATTCATATATTCAGAAAACTACACCTGTTCCATTTGTGGCTAACAAAATTTGATCACGATGATCTCTTGCCATGATGATCCTCTACAAGTCAATGTAATGTCATGGTTGGATTTATTGTATTAAGTTGATATAAAAGTGATAAAAACTCTTCATATGAGATCTATATTTCACAATAAAAACATTGTAAACAACTCATAGAAATGTAATATAATCTATTTTACCAAAAACGGCAGTTATAGCAATTATTCTGAAATCTGTGCTTGACAGCAGACCATGTGACTTCCAAAGATGGCTATACTCCGTAATAATCAGTTAAGAGATTATTACATAAAAAAAACTTTTTCAAAAGGAAAAAGGGACTAACTTTGAATATAGAAATGGATTCATTAACCATTGGTAAGTATGGGAAAATTGCTGTTTACCCCAGGAAAAAAAATTTTTGGTCAAAATGAACAGTTGTTATCCTTTTAATTTTTTAACCACCAACTTCTTGTATTAGGGCTATACACATATGTTGCATTTTATTAAGATGTCTTTATATGACTGGAAAATTAGATGATCATATGAGTTATAAGTTGTTTAATTCTACTGAACTGACGGAAGTTATCATTTCCCTTGCACTCCAGTATTTATTGTCTGAGGAGAAGTAAATAAAATTCAGCTGCACATTTCCAATTTATTGACAAAACCTCTGGATTAGAATTCATGGCAGTTTTGACTAATCTTTTCTGACACATTGAGCATGTGTATGAAGATGAATGTGCCAGGCAACTCCCACCAGAAACCTTATCGAAACTTAACGCTTTTTGCTTTACAATTTCATGGTACAAATGATCAATGAATAAAAGTGAGAGAAGTCCCATTTGTGGCAGCAATTTAAAAGTCAGCACATTAAGAAACACAGTTACTCTATTTCCAATCAAAAAGAAAACATGGAAATGGTGTCAATTGGATTTGAAGGAAAGAAAATAATTTAACCCTGTAAAAGTATGATCAATGTATAAATAACCCCTATGGCATGAACAGTTCTATAAGGCATAGATGAAAAACAAAATTGCTTTACTCACAGATGTGCTTTAGGGTTGAATTTGGGGACATTGTTTTTTGATTAATGAACAACAGCAGCAACATGTATGAAAATTTTGAATTGAAGTGTGAAATTACAGCTTTTTCAGTAGAATCTTAGTCCCATGATATCCTGCCTCTACGACGAAATATTGCAGGTGTGAATTCCAGGAGCTTTCGTTCATTGATTTCTGGAAGCTGGTCAGAAATTTTAAAGAACATTTTGACATGCCTCCACGGGGGTGAATAACTCCCAGGTAGTTAAGTTAGGTGCAGTGCCTGACATGTTTCTAAAAGGAAGTTAGAGGTACCGTATCTAATTGATGTTGTCAAGCTGGAAACACTAGTGTGTGATCAGCTAGTAATGGCCCTTAGCATTGTCAGCTCAGCCTGTTAACAGGTAAATTAGACTGACAGGAAAATTGCACAACATACCTGTGGATGACAAACTTTGAAATCATTGGTGTTACATTGAGATAACTGAGAAGAAAAAAGCATTGCAGACTTAATTTAAGACTCATGTCAGCCAGCTTGTGCAGGGGTACAGGTTGTCTGAAATAGTTGCTTGGGGGTAGTCATGTTAAGAAAGCACGGATTAAATACCACAAAAGCACTTTTCTTGTGCACAGCACTGAAAAATTATCCAAGTTTAACTACACTTTTTCAAATTATTTTCAGGAGGGGACTATACGAATGCAGTCATATAAACAGATAAACACACCTTCTCTTGTTTTTTAACATACTCATACAATCATCAGGTTTTCTGTTTTCTACTCAATGCAAAGGGGAGACGTGCTTATCTCTTTATCTGATTGCATTCAGCAAGTTCCCATATCTATAGTTGTATCAATCTACAGAGAATGATGCCTTCATTGGAAATGAGCCCTTTGTTATTGTGATAGCTGTGTGAAAGAGAATGTCACCTGGGAAGTGTGGTAGCTGTACTTTTAACATTGCTGTTAATGTTTCAATTAATATTGTGATAGGTGAGAAGCTTCATTCAGTGATTGCAGTATAGTTGTATAGTATTTACATCACTTGGCCCCATTCAGAATAGGGGACTTACTAGGCTGAAGGTCAAATATGGTGACCCACTACAAAACTTGCTGTCTAACCCACAAATGTCACTGAATAGATATCCCATGGGGAAGTATACAAGTGGGTAGACCATATTTGAGCCTGAGACTAGTTAGTCCCTTAATTATTCTGAATGGGGCCTTTTGCTGAGTTAAAGACGTTTTGAAAATAGTTGCTTATATTATTTTCTCCCCAGGTTGGAGGGGTGAACACTAACTTCCACATGCCAGATGTAGTCAGTATAGGCTTGGGAGGAGGGTCCAAGATTCTGGAGAAGAGAAATGAGGATAATGAGCTGGTAAATATATAAATATCTTCTTCATGCTACTCCATCTTAATGAAATATCTTATACGTATGCAGTTTTTGGAGCCATTTGATATTACTCTTCATTATCATTATAGATTTGAATTATTTTGCATCGGGAAATTAATTTTCTGGAACATCCAAAAAAATTTTTTATGCCTTGGTTGCATATCAAACTGATGAAGATGTATAATACTCTGAGTAACATAAACTTTCTTATATTTATGGGTCGTGTCTTTTTTTTTTTTTTAATTGCAGATTTTTATCTATAAATTTCAATATCTAACTACAAGTAAATATATCAAATATCACAATTTCAGACCCATGTCCAAGTTGGCCCTCAAAGTGTTGGTCACCACTTAGAGCAAGAGGCAGTCATCTTTGGTGGTAACACACTGACCACCAGTGATGTAGCAGTGGCCACTGGGCTGCTGGACATTGGGGACAGGGGCAGGGTGGAGGGGAGAGTGACCAAACACCTGTGTTCTCTGGCCCAGGAGGAGATTCAGAACATGCTGGCTGTGGCCATTGATAGTGTCAAGGTACTGTATGGGGCCATTCAGTCTACCACAATTTAATGAGAGAATACAGAACAAGTTGATCTGTGGACTAACAGATTAGCAGACTAAATATAGCCAACTCACTTAAAAGCAGTGCTGACTAATTCCCTGATGGCCTCCCTGCCTCCACAAGCCTCGTTGCAATTAATCCTTGGAGCCAAGATTTATTCTGATTTATAGTGTAAAGGCATGTAGACCGTCAAGGAATTGAACTATGCTGCTTTTAATTAGGGTCAGCCATATTTAGTTGGCAGATCAGTCAGTCCATGGTTCTGAATATATTCAATCATTCAAGGTATAAGTCCTCCATTTTGAGTGATATATTTTTAAAGATTATATACTGAACAGTGATATGAAAAAGAATATACAATACAGAGGTTAGACACTGTGATTTTTTTCTAAAACTCGATTTTTTTTTTTCAGATCCAGGCAGCAGACATCCCTGTGGTGTTGGTAGGTGGAGGCAGTGTACTTGTGGATGAAAAGAAATGGCTACCAGGGGTCTCTGCTATCAGCAAGCCACCACACTTTGATGTAAGCTAGAGGGCTTTAGACCACATCTTTTAGATTCTTATAGATTTGAAAACATGTTACCTATGAAAAATTTGAAAAAATGTAGCCTTCGCTTGGGATGCCGATACTCTGGTCAGTCTAGAAGACAAAAGCTTATTCTGTGAAAAGGCAGAATTCCATGTATTTTAATTCAATTCTGATGATTCCTGAGATTTGTCAAGGTTAGGTGTTGGGTCTCATGATAAATGTTTAGATTTTTTTTTTGAATTGAAAACTAGGCCCATGTCTGGTCTAGTATGGCTGATATATAAATATACATCTTGTCTGGACTGTTGTATTCTAGGTTGCCAATGCTGTAGGTGCTGCACTGAGTCAAGTATCTGGCAGCGTGGACCATGTCGTGAAGCTTCCAGACAGGAAATACCTCCAGGGACAGCAGGTGTCTGAAACAGAAAAATTGGAATTTGAAAGTGCCAGAAACTGTGCCCTAGATGAGGCAAAGACCAAGGCTATTCAGGAGTGTGTGGCAGCTGGGGCTGATCCTGCCTCTGTACATGTGAGTTGTTTTTTTCTCTCATGGAGCCTGTTATTATTTTGAAGATTGTTGTAGGCAAAATGATCCTATATTAAGAAAGAAGTAGAAGATCATTATATACCCAAACACCATTTTTTTCTGTCTGACATTCAGATTCTATAACCATTTTATTTTTCTATTATTATTCTTTTTAAATAACAGCTTATTAACAATGATGAATGTTAGATTCATCAATCTAAAAGTGTTATAGGAGTTAGAAGAGGGGACATCAACTAGGTATTGTTTTTGTTGTGCTGGGATGCACCACATTGCAGTGTAGGTTGTGGTGAGGTTGTGATATAATTGTGGTAGTTGTGACAACATCACAATGGGACATCCTCAAAATTTATATTCCCCATGTCATAACTGTCTACATGTCAAATACTTGGACTGGAATTCGATCATTTATTAAACTGCACAATATTTGTTCAGAACTGATCTTTGCAAATTACCCGTCCACATGTACGGAGTGATAAAGTAAGCTGGCAAAACAAGATAAGATACATCAAATTGTACCTGGCAATATATTGAAAGAGAAAGCAACATATGCCACTGGATCTTTTCACCTTGATGAAATTTATATAAGTAGACAGGTAGTATTGATTTTTGAAAACATGCTCTAACTTTCACCCACGTAAGAAGCTCAAACACCTGTACTTGTTGTATATGTTTTCACAGCACGGCACTAGTGTATGCCTCCCAGATATACGTAATACTAGCACTACTTGTCAAATACAGTTTACACTTAAGTGTTACGTGGGTTGAAAGGGTTTTCTATCTGATCTTATGTTTTCACTATTATTTTGAAGTTTTAGAATTCACTTAGTTTGACTCTTGGATCGATTGGAAGTGTTTGGGAAAGCAAGAGGCTCACGCTTCTTCCCATTTATTACTTTAAATGAAATGGTAGAGGTCAAACCACTATTTCCTTTCTTTAAGGAGGGAAAGACCTGCGAAAGTCAAACGAGAATGTGTGCAACTCCTACACATGAAGCATGTGCTCTATAGTAGAAATTAATGTATAAAATTGCATCCTTTTTCTTTTTTTTTTTTAAGGAGAGAGGGCCCAGATTTACTTCTTCACCTGCTCAGAAGGTGCTCATCATGTGACTTTGTTACATTTACAGAGTTCTTATTTTCACTTCCAAAATATTGGACCTGATTTAGTCTTTGGGCCTTCAGTATCTAGCTGTTATTTAACACTAACTACAGCATAACTACCTTGTTCTTAAAATAAGTAATACAGGTCATGTGCTCTAAGGGGCCATACAGAATGAGAAGATCCAAGTTCTAACTGGTCCACGGCCTAAATATGGTGGACCTATGTGAAAGGAAGACTGCTTCATCCTGTAATGGTCTCTCCACCTCTCTCACTTGCCCCTCTATTTATTGTCCCTCAACCAGTCAAATTGAGTTACTGTGCCCCTGCAAGGACGATGCTCGAGGAGGCCTGAAAGAAGCAGGGAGACCATTACAAGATTTAGCAGTCTTCCTTTCATGTAAGTCTGCCATTTTTAGGCTGTGGACCAGTTAACACTCGGATCTTCTAATTGTGAATGGCCTCTAAGAGCTCCTGGCTACCTACATGTATTCCAGTGACCTTGGACAGGTTGCCTTCCAATACTGTATACCATGATTTCCACTGAGATTTGTAACACCTCATGTCTACGGTACTGATTACTTGTCATAAGGAAAGACTTTGATTTTTTTTTGTTACTTTACATGTTTTAATTTATACAGTATCTATTGTTTATCAGTTTTGTCACTTTTTTAATTTTCAACACATAACCAGATGTTGCCATTTCAGCAATGTTTATTATTACTATTATTATTATTTACATCATCATCAAAATTACTGTTATTATAGAAATACACCATAACATTGATAAAAAAAACTTTGCCAGCACCTCCTTAATTGCAGTAAGATATGGTGACAACATTAAGATTGAATCATATTTTTTTTGTCAGAACTGTGAAACAATACTTTTTTATCAATTGCATTTAGTATATATCATATACATGTGCATTTCTGTTTGGTTAGTATTTAAGCTATATGGGTAAATGCTGGTATATCTGAGAGATTAATACAAAGACACTGGTATTCAACAGTATTGACAATTGGAGAGTTTTAAAGGAAAAGATTAATGATTCAATTAAGACTCCTGCTGTTAATCATTCCCATGGGAGTCCCTTAATGACTTGGAATCTGCCATTTATGAGACGCAGTCAGTGCTTTGGTTGCCCAGAATTCCAGCGTGTCTGCTTTTTGATAAGGTTAATTGACATCCGTGGCACTACCTGTACTGCTGCACACTGACAAAGTCCCAACATTTGTGAGTGAACAGGTACATTGGAACAGCCCTGTACATGTATGTGTATTAACTCTGTGTCAAGGTAGTATGCATCCACAGGGAAGGTGTATATTTCATACTAAAACAAAATATTAATCTCTCTCTCTCTCTCTCTCTCTCTCTCTCTCTCTCTCTCTCTCTCTCTCAGAATCATGTGACCCCCTCTACCTTGTACTAATCTCAAAAAAAGGGAGAAAAAATGACATCTGTCAAGAGGAGAAAGGGGGTTAGCCAGCAGTGATCTCCTGGCTCTGCCCGTGATTACCACAGTGATGACAGTGAAATCATACTGAAAGCTGGAGATAACTATTACATTTGAATAACTCTTCTAGGATTTTCTGCTTCCATTTAGGAAAGTATTACGTCATTATGTTTCTTTTTTTCACAAAAGCCTATCCTTATCATTTATAATGGAAATAAAGATTATTGCAGACTGTATCTTTGTGTAGATGATTAAAGGTTTTTTTGTCATTGATAAGCAATCATACTTTGTCATTCAAGTTGTGCAGTGATGATTATCATTCTGAATATGAAAAATGTAACGTTTAGGTATTTTGTGTCCAATGAAAAATGCAACACTGGTTTCCTGTTATTTCCTGTTCTAATATTTCTTATACATACTCAGTTCAGCATTGCATGTTCAGATGTAGTTTTAGTCTGTGTATTCTGCAGTAGGTGCCCAAGTTCCTTTTGTGTATTTATAACTAAGGGGTAGCATGAGCAGTGTGCAACTCTTGTGCTTGTGTCTTTCCCCTTAACTGGGAATTTTTATAATACTGTAACTTTAAGATTCCTTTTATACCCTACTTACAAATTTAAACTTGAGTCTCATACTTGGGTTCTAGGAAAACTATAAATAAATGATTTTTTTGGCCCTTAGGGGCCATTCTGAATAGATGGTCAGAGTACCAACTGATCCACTGACTAAAAATGGCAGACCCCACTTCAAAAGCGATACCGCTAATTCCATAATGATTTCCCCGCCTCCACACATACGGTCACTGCAGGGGCCTAGCAATTAAACTTCGGAGACAAGATTTAATCCATTTATTGGCGTGTGTGGAGGTGGAGAGACCATCGGAAATCAGCGGCATCACTTTGGAAGTGAGGTCTGCCATATTTAGTCAGCAGATCAGTTAGTACTTGGATTGTCTATTCTGAGTGGCTCTATACTCTGCTTTCCCTATCAGGTCCCAATAGCACAATGTTGGTAGCAGCCTCTACCAGATGTCTGGGGCACTTTGACCTGCCAGCCTTGGTCTTCTTGATCCAATCTTGGTGGAGATCTTTGGCAGGTTCTCTGTATGGCTGATTATTTAGGATACGTTCCCTCCATCTGATGTCCAATATCGCACTGCTTTCCTGGAACATTCTTGTGTAGGAGCCATGGAGTTCTTGTTCCTGCTTCTAACTCAAGCTGTGTGTTTCACCTCGGAATGCATGGTTTCCACTGTAAATATCAGTTATATGTGGTCTTCAGGGTTCTGCTTGCTCAGGTTTGACTATTCTAGATCTTGTCCATTTTGTAACATGCTCTTCATGCTGCCCATGCCTTTCCCTTTCTGGCTTCACTATCTGCTTCTGTGCTGCTGCTCATCATTAAGCCCAGGTATTTGAAGTCCTGAAGCATCTTTAATGTGAACGGTCCATTGCAGTGAGGTCTACCTGTCTTGGGAGGCCAACTTTGGCTAAGGCTTCATCAACTCACTAAAGCATTGACCTTTAATTTACTGTTATGTAATATCATAATTAATGCTTTGTTGGATAATCATTTCTGATGTTTAAAGGAAAATTTAACAATATTTTTTCTTCATTTAAAGTACTGTCTATGTTTCTTAGACTTCATAGAATCTGCACCTTTGATTTTTTGTAGAGCATTTGTATATATGCCAGTTTTGCTGATTATAGTTGGTTTCTTGCATATTCATCCTTTAACTTTATGCAAAGTAAAACTTTCTTCCAAAATATTACTCCTGGGGATATTTTCAGTACATGTCTAGAAATGTTCTGATGAAATCTTATTATTTTGCAGCTAATTTGTAGCTCAAGCAATACATTTTGGTTTGGGAAGACTTTGATACAGTACATGTAGCATCACACTTGATGCCATAGAGCGAAACTGATTGTCAATTAGTTAAATGTCATCCCTATTGTAATAAAGAAAGAAAGGAATTCAGACAACATGACCACATCAGAACCAGCCTGTTTGGCTATTCAGTTAGAAATAAGTTCTTTTAATGTTGTGCAGATGACTGCATGACCTCAATATGTTGTTATACCTATTTGTGTGTAAGTTGCTGTCAACAATATTTTTTTTTTTATGTAAGAATGAAAATTATGGCAATAACAGTTGAAAATGAACTAATGGGTATTATTAGTGGAATAAACTGTGTACGAAATTGACGTATTGGGATAAGAGATGGCTATTATAGGACAGCTACTATAAAAAATATGAATTTCTTTGGAATGAAATTGCTGCCAGATTCAAGTGCAGTGCAGAAAGGTTGGAATGTCAATTTAGTATAGATTCCATTCTAGAGTTATTATTGAATTGATGGACAGTGAGTCTTGGAAGGTGCAGTTCAGTAAGCAATATTACATAACAATGGGAAAAAATAAGTGCTGCAGAAC